ATCGAAACTCTTCTCCGCTGAAATAAAAATCATTCAATTTCGGTTCATTTTTCAAAATGATCCCGAGCTCCAACGCATTAGTAAACATGCTTTACGTATATATATACGTCTATAATACTATATAATATAAGAAGTTTTAAAAGGGTGCTTTTGCCCTAATTCCTAAAGAAGTTATTTAAAGAATTATTGTGTGTATATAATATATACACAATGCATATGTCAGCAATATATACTTATAATGCAAAAGTGATGCTTTAAAGCAATTAAAATTAAATAAAAAGCTCACACATATAGAAATTTTATTTTTATATAGATAAAATTGATTGTGAAAATAGAAGCTGTTTTGATATCAATATAGATGTATTATAAATATAACAGAATTATTTGTTCCCCTTAACACCTGCATTTATTTAATACAATATTTTTGTAATACTTATAACAATCGTTCTAAAATGAATAAATTAACTTAACTTTTGTTTTCTCTTATTTAAATTCTTTCACCATATTATTATACACCGTTCTATTAAAATTAAAATGTATTTGAACTGTTATATTTAAAAAATAAAGAAAAAACACACATATGTATACTACATTATTATTTGTTTATTGCACACATTACTTTTAAAACATTACTTCCAGTTTGTTATTTTACCACAAATAGTCTACTATTTATACGTTATACAATATCTATCATTTGTATATTCCTATATATTCCTATATTTAGTTATATTATGTATATTGGTTTCTTTATAATATCAATGTCAAATATAATTGGGGTAACCAATCGTCCGCTCTTAAGAAAAAAAAAACAGATTTTCTACAATAAATTCATATTAAAGCAGATTTTTATGTAACACTGCACTTTTTAGTGTTATGAATTAGATTGACACAAGTGTCATGTAAAATGACTGAAAATTCGACCATGAAAATTATTTAGCTGTGTTATATACCCCAATTTGAGTTGAACCTGGATTTGAATTGAAATATAAGTTTTACTACTTTAACATGCCACATGTCAGTGCTTGCAGCTTGGATTTACAATCTTAAATTAACTAAAAAACTTAAGTGACACAAATATACTTAAGGAATTCAAAACAACTGAACTTAAATATGAGTTAGGCTGTTTTTTCTCTTGTAAATATGGTTTAAATTGGCATCCCCACACATGCCTATACAATGTGCTCATATATATATATATATGTATATCAATTCTTTGATACACAATGATTGTTTGCAAAATATTTACTTTAAAATTGTTTGAGCAGTCGTTTTAAATTTAAATATTATTTATGTATGTTAATAACTTTCTAGAACAATATTATATTTGTATAATATACTATATGTAACTGCAATATGAGTAAATGATCGCCTACTTAAAACACACCTTTAAGGCAATTTAGGCGTATTATTTTTCAATTCTTATGATCAACTACTTAATGTAAAGTATAACATAAACGTATGTATGTATGTATGTATATAAGTTATATATATATGCAATTCTGAAACTGTTAAGATCTTTTGTAAATATACAAGGTATGTGAAGTGTATTGCAAAAACTGAGAATTTTCATTAAGTAAATTAAATAAAAAAAAAATACCACAACAACTATAATAAAAATAAAAATTGTTGTAATATAACAATAACAGTAGTGCTCTCGCAAAATGCACCGGTAATTATACATATTTACAACTGGATACATTAAAATTTATGTACATAATAATTATATGCGTAAATATTTATTCAAATGTTTATTTTAGATGAAGATATTTCTAAAAGAATGTATCTTTGAAGTTGATTATCATATTTTTGAATTGACTTTTCTTTTACACTATTGAAAATTTATTTTTAAATTTTGAAAAAGAATTGAGATTTTTTTATTGTAAGCATATTTATAAATTTAATTAAGAACCCTCTATCTTTTATTCAAGAAATTGAAAACTATTATTAAAGGTTATAAATTATATTTTCTAGTATGTTTGTAGTTAGTTAAATTTTCATATTGCAATAATTATAACATAATTTTAAAATGTAAAAAATTTAGTATCGATATAAGCTCATAGTGTTCGATTCTTAAAATGGCGCTATGAGCAGCACCGATAAATGATTAAGTAGTTTAGTTGGTTTGAATTTTTCTATTTTTCAAAATTAAAATTAGTTCAATAAAATATATAATATTACATTTATGCAGATACATACACTCATATATAAGTTAACACCAAAAATGCAAACATTCCATAACTCACGTTGCACTGCCACATGATCACGCGTAACAAATAAAACATTCCAAAATATTTTCCCACAATAATGTTCACAAGAATGTTGCAATAGGCAAATATGCTTATTTAGCATATTTACGTTATAAATATTAGTACCTAAGATTTAAACATTGTTAATCGTCGGTTAATCGTCAGTTAATCGTAAAGTAATAACAGTTAGCATAACATCTTATTATTCTGTTGTATAGTGTAATTTAAATACAGAAAAAATAAAAATAAATTAGAATTAAAATTAAATTTGTGTTTTTTTTATAAAATAACACAGTAATAATTTTAATTTATATAAGAGTCGAATTTACTTTAAGATCCATATAGATTTTTTTATTCATCGTCCATATAGATTTCAGTCTTAGTCCAATATATAGATTTAGAACATTTGCACAGAGTTCGCAACCATTTCAAAGGTAATACTTTGGGGCATTAAGAACTCAGTTTTATTGAAAATAAAACTAAAAATGAATTTTCGGTATTCAGCGTTATTGTACTGGCGGAAACTTAAGTTGTAGCTTGTTTAACTCACCCTGTTCGTATTTAGATTTAAATATTTAAATGGCAAAATACTGTTACATAAAACTTTATTAAATATTTTCGAAAAAAAAAAAAAATTAATTTTTCCGGTGTAACAATATTCTCAAAATTATTGCATCTAGCCTTAATTATTATTTTTCTTAAAATAGAATTAAATTTTGATTTTTGAATGTCTGAAGTCAAAATAAACATATACTTATATAAAAATTTAGAAAAATCAAATTAAAAACAACGCATGACCACATTCAAGGGAATATTTGTCATTTCAGTTTATAGTTGAATAAGATCTTCGCCGGTTTTCAAAACTGTTTATTTATCGAATTCAAATTTTAGTATATATCATTGCATTAATTTACCTTATTGATCTGAATGTAATCAATATCGTATTTAGTTTGTAACAACTTTCATTAACACAATATATATGTATATTAACTCTAATTAAAATCGCAGCTGCTAGATGATTTTGACATTATATAATACTTGGGATAGCTATCGATAAATTTTTATCGATGCTTTGACAATCACTTTTTTTGTTTTTACTTTACATAGTCTCCACATATTTAATCCAAAATTTGATATAAATATGAAAACAATGCATTTAGGATCAACAAACTGTCTTGGAATTTGATAACATTGTAAATTTTTAATCTAAATCCTGAAGCACTATAAAAATTCATTATTTTTATAAACAATATATGCAATTAGAATGAAGTCTTTAAAAGAGGTGATGTACATATATATATATATGAATATGTGTGTAAATGTGAAGGAACGAAACTAACACTTCATGTACCTCTTTGTAGCGAATTACACACATTTGTTCAATATGCGGAGTGATACAAAAAAAAAAAGACTCAAGAAAAGAAAATGTTGAGATATGACGATTTTGTTGATTTTAAATTTCAAGTAGAGAAAAAAGTAGCTGACTGATTCGAAATTTTAGATTCGAAAAGTTTTAGATAGGAAAAATATACAAACAAAATTTTTAATTCAAGCTCAACTATGAGAAAATATAACAAAAAAAATAGCTACATTGAAATAAATTTGATATTTTGTATTATAATACGAAAATATATGATTATGCAAACAAAAAAATATTATTACTTAGTTAATTGTGCTAAAAATAAATTTAACTCGCATTTTGTTCTATTTCAGGGCACGCGGTAAGTACTCCAAACTACTACAGAGTAATTGAAAATAGTTTGATAAATCTATTACTATTTCGACAATTTACAGGTTACTATTTTGACAAAATTTAGAGGTCGTCAAAAATAATGTGCGAAATTACCGCAAATTTTACTGCTGTAGAGGAAAATGTTATGCTCGTAAAGTGATATATGTTTAAAGTATTACATATTTCCAAATGGAAGGCAAATAGTATTTGTCCATAAAATAAAAAGAATTTTTAAATAATATTTAGATTTAAAGCCAAATTTTTAAACTCTTTTGTAATAAATTCAATTTTGAATTCTCGATTTAATAAAAAGGATGTTACAAACGTTAAAAGATTGCTATACTGAGCATATATACGTTCATATTAAAATCAAATAAATTTATATATAATACAAATACAAATAAGTACATATATTTTACAAAGAATCGATATTAATGAAATTTGATCAAACCAGATGTGGTCGACATTCTGATTTTAATATACTATAATAAACAGTAATATGACACGGCCATCATTATAATAACAATACCAGTATATAACAATAGCAGTTTAGTTCTTTAAAAATTATTTAATTTTTGTTTTAAGTACAGAGGGCTTCTTTCATTTTCTTTAGTGATACCTATATTTAGTTTAAAATACTAAAAAGTAGGGTATATACAGTATGGAACATTGCATTTGGGTAAGGCATACATAGAAAGTAAAAATTCAAAACAATAATATTTCTTTAGAGTTAATAAAATTCAATTTTTTTATAAGTAGAATAATAAAAGTTACAAATTTCGTGTGAAATAACTATGCAAACGTAAGAATTCTCATGCTTCTTATTAATTAGAGAAGAAATTATTAATTTAAAATGCAAATTTTAATTAAATATAAAATAATTTAAATTTGGTATAAACTTGTAATTATTTCCATTAATTAGATAATAATTATATAAGAATCTCAGAATTTATATTAATTGAAAAAATTTCTCAAATATTTTGTAGAATTAAAATTGTAATTTATACAAAACGTTTACTTACCATATTCCAGCTGACATTCCAAAATAATATCGCAATAAAAATGTTGCAGCACATGAAGCATTCGATAATCCATCAATTAATAATAATTGTACTGTTGGTATTTGTGGATCATAACCACATGATGATGCTATTCTACCAACAACAAAACGTACAGTCCATCCAATAGCTACTAAAGTATGACATGCGACTAATGGTGTTAAAATTTTATCCCATTTTGTATCAGTAAATATTAAACATAATATTGCAATTATTGATGTTCCTAAAGTTGCATAACTCCATGCTGTTACCCATATTTCAGCTAAATGTTTTTCACGTTGATCAAATAATATATCAGCTTCACATAGCGGTGCACAACGACCAGAACGATTTAATCTTATATATAAATGACTTTTAGCTAAACCAGAACAGCTTGTTTGATGTATTGAAGTTATTTTTGATATTGGTGTTATAACATTAACACCATTCATAATTGTACCAGTAGAACCAACATTTGTTGATATTCCATTATTATTATTATTATTTATATTACCATTTGGTCCTGAATTTGGTTCACCATAACCTTCCATACACATATGTTCATGATTATTTTCAGCTGGAAAACGATTACAATCCAATGCTGGTGGCCATGGAAAACCAAAACTTTGTAATACTGGTACACAAAGTGTACGAACTGTTTCACATAAACTACGGCATGGTCCAATTGGAACTGATACTTTCGGTGTACACATTGGTACATAAGCTGAACATAAAAAGAAATTTAATTGTGTACTACATCCATATTGAATTAATGGTGCAAATGTTTGTAATGTAAAATCAACATCAGCTTGTACTTCATGTCCTAACATATTCGGCATTGATGTTTCATTATAACCTATACGGCGACATAAATCAATACGTATTGGTTCACATTGTCTTGAATTTGTATTTACTAAATCACAATTTATTAAATTAAATAAATTGAATAGAATTATTAAAGAAATATTATTGATTATTAATTCTATGTAAATCATAATTAATTTTTTTTTTGAAAATTCACTGTCATAAATACTTATTAAATATTAATTATAAAATTTAAGTGATTTCTTAAATTATTAAATGAACTTTTAATTTCATTGTGATTAATATAATTACACAAATAAATTTTATTTGTTTTTATTAATGAATTTCGTTTATTTTAAATTATTAAAAATCAGGTTTTTAATTAAAATTAATTTAATTAATAATCTGTTAATAAACTGAGAATTATATAATTTTTAAAAATTAATTGGTTAATGACATTTATTTGTTTTTTTTTTCTTTTGTTTTATAATGAAATATCAATTTTCACCTTTAATATTTTTAACAACACACAACATATTTAATTATTTACTTATTATTATACTTATATGTGATGATCAAATTGAATAAAAAATTTCTTCAAAAATCTCATCCAATACTCTCATAAATATTTTCATATTACAATCTTGAATTAAAATAAAAAAAAACAGGTATGAAATAATTCAAATATGTTTTCAATTTGTACTTATTTATATTTTATACTCGCGCAAATATTTACACACATTATTATATTATTAAAAATGATTTCGTTCAAAAAAAAAATTTCCGAAAAAAGTAACAAATATCTTAAACAATCCGCGATTGTCTACCTTCTCATTAACCGTCTATTACTATACTGACTGACTTAAGTTTCTTAGTTCAGTTATTTGGCTGTCTGATTCTTCTATCAATGAACATACAAATACAAGAAAAAAATTTAAAATCTCCGAATTGTTGGCTCAAATCGACTATAACGCAAACGCATAGTAAATATAATATAAAATAATCCAAAAATGTATGAATAAATGTATGTAAGCACGTTGTACGATATGCTACCTATGTATGTATATTTTTCTTTTCTTACAATATTTTATTTGTGTTTGTGTTTATTTTTTTCTTTGTTTTTTTTTATATGACTTTTTATTTTAGGTTTTTATCTTTTAATGAAAACACGATTATTTCGTGATAAAATAATGAGAATCTAAAGATATGAGAACCATATGGTATCGGTTCAGTATCCGTATATAAATGAAATGACTATGGGAATGGATTGGATATGCAATACATATGCAAGACAATAATTTTGTATTAAATAAATAATTTATATCCGTTCTATATAGGTATATGGTGATATTTTAAAAATACAAATTGAGTAGTTTCACAGTATAAAAAGAGAAAAATTTGGAAAAACGAGTAGACTTTGGTTTGGGTACAAATGTACAATGTAGTTATGTTAAGACAAAATCCTATTTACTTAAAGAAAAATACTATTATAGAAAATATACATATACAATAATTACTCCAATTAATTATTCTATGGAGAGAAGAGAGAACGTAGAAGAGAGTTACTACATCTCTTCATATAAGCAAAAAACACTTATTTTCAACAAAAACACTGATACAGTTATAGCTTTCTTTGATAAAATAAAATGTTGAATAAACAGAAATTGACAAACACAATTGGATTAGTTTAGGTAATTATCGATAGCTTCGCGTCAGACAAATGCAGAGTTCAAAAGACACTACAGTGATCCGGTGAACGGAACAAAAACTCAGCATCCAATTGTTGAGAATAGACTAACCTACGACTATAAAATTTACCAAAATTCTTCCATGACATAACGCATTTGAAGTAACAATTAAAAATAAAGATAATACGTCCTAGATATAATGAAATTTACTTTTTGGTTCTAAATTTCGTAAAGCACGATCCACTGTAGTGTTAAAAATCAACTGAAACCTTTATAAAAAGTAAGAAAGTAATCATTTTTTTAAGAGTTAACCTATTTATTGTTAATTTTTTCGAGATTTTGAATTTCTTCATTTTGTACACACAATATAATGTAAAGTATTAAATGTAAAAAACCACAGAGAGAGCAAGAGAGTTGAAAATATCTACATATTGTTAATAATTTTGAGATACAATAAGAGAAGAAGTATACATATGTAGAAGCACATATGTTATATACATATAGATTTTTTCCGTGAACGGTAAAAAATCCTTTAGCTTAGAGCAAATGGAAGTGGATATCAAAAAATGAATCTTGTAGTAAAATTAATGAGAATCGTTATGTTAACTTATGCTAAAGAAATGCATTTTCTTTCATTTTCTTGCCTATTCTGATTTTTTTCAGTCTTTTTATTCGTTTTGCTTTTTGTTTTTTTTTGATACAATAATCAAGTTCTCTTAAATATGTACACAAAATATGTACTATAATCACAACACAGACAAATTTTAAAGGAATCTGATGATGGGAGCATATTTAAAAAAAAATTACACTAACTATTTGCTTTTGGAACTGCTTTAAGAGTATATTCGCTATTTTGTTTTCGAATTGATTTTTAAATTATTTAGCTTTTAATTATAAAGATATTAACATCTAATCATCAATATAATGTTCTATTGAAAGAATTATTTTATCAGTATATCACATTGCATATGTTTCGGAGAAGTTGTAAAAAAAAAAATTTTAAATTTTATAAATTTAATTAACATCATGCACATCGAATGAGATTGTTGATTAGCGTAATTGTGCATAAACGTATATTTTGGAATAAGAAGACGTTTACTGTTAATGTTGTTCTTGAGATGTTCGTTAATGCTTGTTGTGTCGAAAAAATGTCTAACCAAAAATTGAAATTTCGCAAGATTTTAGGGTTAATAATTTAAGAGAGGCAAAATGTTAAAAAAAAATTTATTCTTGCAAAAAATTTTTCTTAAGAAAATGTAGTTAATAAAATTTTAAAATTTTAGGCTACTTTGTCATACAAAGTTATCATGATAATAACGTGCATTAACAGAGGGAAAGATAAACTATCAGACAGGAAGAGTAAAACTAAAAAATTTTTGGAATCTTTTGGTAATAAGAAACAAAATATACTATATAGCTACTATACTCAGTGTCTTTAACCACATTGTAAGAACTGTTAAGGTAAATTTACTCTAAATCAAAGAAATTCAAGTTCTTTCTCGCTTTTACATATACATATTAGTATTTAGATTAAATATTAATGGCAGGAATTCTAAGAGCGCAAAGAGTTAATAAGTGTGCTTATTATATGGCAAGTATATGTGTATGTTTGAATGCATACAATATATTATATATATAATACTGCAATACATATAATATTGAACATATTTTATAATATAACGTATAACGTATTATACATATTTTCTTATTTATTAACGAACTAAATAGAAAATAAAAGAACATCATATATGTATGTATATATGTATGTATGTATGTAGTCACCTATGTTTAGTATTGAAACATAATAAAGAACGTTGGGAAAAAACCTGTAATGTTGATGATGATTGTGAATTTTAACTGAAAACAAGACACTTGGCTAACGAGATGATAATATTTGTGTGGCGCATTGCCATAGCATAAAGTAATACATATATGCAGTAAAATGAAGAAAACAAAAGGGAATTTAGAAAAAGGGCTACATGAAGAAATACAATACAATAAAAAACTAAAAAATTCAAAAATAAAAGAAGTAAATCGGTTGTCATTGCATTTTAAAACGATAATGTAGTTTCTAAGAATAATAATAACCGTGGTAGAGTTTCAAAATCTATATAAAACAAACAGTAATTAATTTTTACAGGTTATTAAATACTAAATAGACAAATTAATTGTTATTGTTAACTTCATAAAATGTGTACATAATTCACATTAGTGACAATATGGAATGAATCACGAGAAAAATCATAACTAATCATAACATTTATTTTGTGGAGCAGGAATAAGCGAATTGTCTATACTGCATTTTAAAACATCGACACTAGTGAGTTGATGAATTCCAAATTTTTCTTAATCCTATGATTATTTTACTCTTTTCGAAAGTGGTATAACTTTTGTAAACTTTATTTTAATCCTTTGTGTTATAATGAAAAAATCCTATAAAGTCTTATTTCAAATGCGTGTAATATTAAACCCATATTTTTTTTTTGATATTTAAGAAGTTTCTGTTGTAAAAAGTTAATATTCATATAGTAAGAAGCTAATATTATGTTTTTAATTTTATTTTTTTTGTTGTCTTGTTGAGCTGTCCGCCTCCTCGTACCAATATTGAAATAAAAAATAAAATGACTTTAACACTTAACAAACGCATTAACTCAACGCTGACTTTGGAAATGTATGTATGTAGTTTAACTTTTTATACATCTACCTGTACATAGGTCAACTTTTTAATTATTTAGCAACATTTTTGAATACATAAAAACGTTACCATAAATTTATTAATTATTATAGCGTATAGCGATGCATCTACATTTATAATTTTACATAACCACAAGGATTTCTTTTATACTAAAGGAGGTAGTTGTCCGTGAATGTTGGTAAGTATACAACCAATTCGATTTGTGTTACCTAAACTCTATCCTTAACACTTTCGAACAACTTCTTGTATGTAATTCCCTTTGCTTTAACTTGATGTAGAACAAAACTTTTTTAAATATGTATACATATAAGATTAATTTCATCAGAATCTTAGATTTGTAAACATCATCTGAAAGAAGAAGCGAGAGAATCTGTGACTTCAATAATGCTTTAAAAAAGATTTAAGTACGGTATTAATACGGTTGTAGTACCGTCTCAGAGCTTTCAATACCTTTACATTGTAAAAAAAACTACTAAAGCTTTTCGTACATTTTGGAATACAATTTTTACCATATCAATACAACTTTCACGTTTATTTGAAAATTTCAATTTGAAGTTCGGTTCAAATGTTAATTTTTATAAAACGTTACCACATCATTAAAAACATAGCATTTTTATGCTGCATTTTAGGAAAAAAAAATTGATACAATTGATATTATTGAAGTCATTGAATGTCTGAGAAGTCAAGATTCAAATACATAAATATGTTTATGAATCCACATAATGGAATTTTTCCAAGGTTGCAAGCTTCCTAATCACTCAAAAAACACAGAATAATAAGAACTCATAAATAAATATATAGTTATAAGTAGATTTTTATTGTGTTCTCTTAATACATACGATTATTTTGAAATTTATTTCTTCCCTTCAATAATTATTATTTGGAATTTGGATTTTAACTCTGCGGAAGTTCTTAATTTCGATGAACACGCCACAAACATAATACATTTGTCAAACACGAATTTATTTGCCATTATGCGTTTTGTCCAACAAGGCATAAAACTTTTTGAAAACAAAATGGTATTCCAGATTTATTCGAGATATTGTTGATCTAACAGCCTTGTATTTCCTACATTTTTCAGGATTTAAAAAGCTTTATATAGTCTTATATTTTAAAAGCTTTAACAATCTTACCTAACCTTGCTTTTTGTTAGTTTTGAACAATCTTACTTAGCCTTGTAAAGTCTTAAATACTAACAATTTGTATTCTTACTGCCTCTCATGACCGTAGAATTGAGCATTCCATTGAGTGAACAATGATTTAAAATTATGAAAAATCATTAGTCACTTGGACTATGACCATCATTAGTCACTTGTACATTTAAATGTGATGAAATTTAAAATAGAAAATTTTGAACACGACCTGTCAATCTTTAAAAGCATCGATTCTCTTTTTTTTTTTTAAATAAGTTAAGAAAAACAATAACAATCGATTTATTTGATTCTTATTATTTGACATTGCCATCTTTTATAGACACCTATAAAGCTCAAAATAAAATACAGAAATCAGAATTTCTTTCAACACCTTATAATTTCAAAATTATTGTTTGTGTATAATTAAATATAATATGTAAAATTATTCAAATTCGACTTCAAAATATGTCGTATGATACAACAGCAAAACTATATCTGACTTGTAGGGTTTGCGCAAATTTATTCCGGAATTCTACGCTAGTCCCGCTGTATTTTCCAGTTAATTTAAATGAAGAATTGCCTATTAATATTATTGAAAGATATATTAACGATATATTTCAAGTTGGGTATAAAAAAGGTTTAAAAGATAATTATTATCAATTTAAATTTTATTTTAGATAAGTGAAAATGATAGCCTGCCGCAACAAATTTGTCATGGTTGTTTGAAAAAGTTCGTCATTATTAACAAATTTATAACAAATACCCTTATTGCTCAAGAACGTTTACAAAATTATTTTCATCCAGAAGATTTAAAGGAAACTTTTGGGTCAGAATTATGGGATTCCGAGATAATTCATGAAGACAATCTTATATTACCTGATGAAACAAGGTCAAACGAATCCAGAAACACAGAACGTTCAAGTTACATGTCTTCCGAAGCAGATAATCCAGAAGATTTTAGGTTTGTTTGCCACATATGTAATTTAGAGGTTGGAACTTCGATAAAATTGGATAGACATCTTGCTAAAGATCACAAAATTAAGATAGGCGACTTTATTTTGTGTGAACATTGTGGTGAAAGTAAAATAATTTTTGTTTAAAGCATATGAGAAATTTCAATGTTTTATTATTTTTTAGATATTCCAAAGAAATCTTATGGCCGTCATCAAAAATGTTTAAAAAGTGATAAGTCTTATTATTGCAAATATTGTAGCGAAAGTACATACTCATTGGAAAAATTTCATACTGGAATTAATGATTAACTTGTTATTTTTAGAGTTTTCTACTCGAAGAAACTTATGTCAACACTATAATCAAAAGCATGCGGATGAGGTAAATAAGAAAAAGGAATATTTATATTCCTGTCCTAAATGTAGAAGAAATTTCAAGACTTTAGTTCACTTGCAAAAACATCAAATTACTAGCCACAATCCAAAAAGGGAACAGAATCCAAGGTACAAGCCTCACACTTGTATTCACTGTGGCAGAGTTTACGGAAGATCTGATCATTTGCAAATTCATATTAAACGCGTTCACTTAAGGCAAATGGATTATAAATGCAATTACTGCGGGAAAAGTTACGTACAGCGCTTTCAATTGAATCATCATATAAAAATATCACATAGTAAGATAACATAAAAGAACCAAGGAAAATTTAGATATACACATATATATAACGCTTAATAAAATTATAGGCGAAAAACAAATTTACGCATGCGAACATTGTTCCAAAACGTATATTAATTTTAAGAGATTTAAAGAGCATATATCAGAACATAGCAGCGAACCAAAGTTTGAATGTATTTTATGCGGGTTATTCTTTCAAAAAATACAAGAATTAAAAAGTGGGTTAAAATTACAAGTACATTTTTCTTTCACTCGACTACAAAATTTCTTTGTTTTTAGAGCATGAAGATCATCATAATAGTGAAAGTGAACGTTGCTTAAAGTTGGAAATAGAAGTTGGATATCAGAATGATGTGCCCAATGATATTTCCGACACTCAGAGCGATTTACTTGAAATTATCACAGCACAAGGATCTTATAATTTAAATAACACATTGGAAAATTCTGAAGATGAAATTTCACTAAAAATTAGTGATGCAAATTGATTTAGGCAAAGAAATATAGGTTAATCCGTTTTAGTGCATTATTGTAATTTTGAAACTAAGAACTTATACAAATGTTAAATAATATTTTCATATAAAAAACACATACAGTATTGATTTGAAGTTAAACTTTGATTTTTAAATAATTTATTTCCGATGTATTAAGGTAGTGAGAAGGGTTATGCTGCACATTATCAATTAATATTTATTATATTTAATTTTGACGCAATTCTTTTTAATTATTGTAGATTTTATTAATGTTCTTTTTATTTTCATATAACTAAAATACTTAAATACTCGAAAATTTTTCATTTTTTAGCAAACGTAATTTTCATTGCATGTGACGGTGTTATTTTGAAACCCTGTAAAGCTTCTTTAGCTGCACTACTTTGTAATTCAGTTGAAAATTCCACAAAAGCGATATCATGCCTATTTGGTACCAGTCTGACTTCTTTAAAACCAGGAAATTGATTAAACAACATAGAAAGCATCATTTCGTTTGTCTCTTCAGGTAGATTTGTTAAGAAAAGAATTTGATTCGGTGGTTGTTCAACATTATTGCTGTTATTTGAAACATCAGAATTAGCGCTTTTCTTTTTCTTTTCTTTTTTCTCTTCTGTATTTGGAGCTTTAACCATTTTCGGTTTCTTCGGCCTCTCTTTGAATGTGCCTTTCATCTTAGCAACAACATCACTGTCGGATTTAGCATAAGCAATTTTCATAGGCTTGTCATAGAACGGAAAACCTTGCATTGTTCGTAAGGCATTTGTAGAGCTTGAAATATCTTTAAATATAACGAAAGCCTGACCTCTCATTTTCAGCGTTTTCAACGCAACAATATCTAGAATTTGACCAAATTGGGAAAATATGGCATACAAAGATTTTTTTAACTCATCTTTTTTCACTTTCTCGTTTAAATTATTGATGTATATTGTTTGGTTAGGTCTAATGTCCATTGTTGCCATTGTTTATTTGAATTTTAGAACATCAACTAAATCGCTATAAATTATTCCTTAAATTTAGCTTGTTCTACTTTGAATTTTTAAGGTATGTAGTTGAAACAATTTTATTTCGTTTATCTGAAAAATTTTCGGAAACGCCGCTTTAATACAAAACAGAGTGATTTGACATTTCAGATGACATATTAAACGATTTCATTGCAAACAAAAATTTAACAACACTCAACTTAACTAACAAGAACAGAACTGCCAACAGTTACATTTATATTGGAGTCCAAATAGTTTAGTATGTATTGGGCTAGAATTAAACGTTGTTGGCTTAGTCTGTTAGGGCTTTCACAAACAAGCAATTTCCAGGTTGTAAATTCAGATAAAATATAAAAAACTATATATATTTCCCTTTATTGCAATAAGTACTTTTAACATTTTAATAACTTTACTTTAATTTAAAGAAAATTATAAACGAATTCTAATTCGCTTGGTTAAGTAAAGTAATGATAATTTATGATATAGAACACAATTTCTAATGAAATTGAATTTCGAGATTTAATATAAAGCTAATAAAAGTAACAAATCAAATTTTTGTAAAGTAAATTAAAAGCATATTCAAATTAAAATCAATCTTACGTTGCAAACAGTTTAGAAGAGAAATAGTTTAGAATAAAACATTTTCACAAATAAAATGTTATAAAATTTTAAGAACTTATTAATAATTTTTTTTATGAAGATTCTGCATCAATCAAAAAGCAATTTCATTGTAACTAGGAGGTTTATGATTATGGTCATGACATGTTGACAGATAGCTTGTAAAAGAGGCAGTAAAATTTTTTGAAAAAATTTCGAAAAGCTGCAATATTACATCAACCTGAAAAATACCATTATACAAACTACAGCAGGTTAGATGCCTAAATAACAAAATGAAACCAACCCCCCTAGTTAACAAAATGAAATATGAAGCGGAATGTCTTCCTTATTTTACATATGCTTCGAAGTGATAGTGAAATGAAGAAACTTAACAGAGAGAAAATAGTGATTATATTATATTTTCAAAGAGTTAGAATTTCATTGTACATTTCAATAATATGTAGTTGTCAATATTTATTATTATAATTTATTATGCATAAAACTATAAAACATGACATCATTTATAAGTTTTGTACAAGATTTTTGTTTTAGAAAGCATTTTGTGTTTCCTTGTGTCAAAGTATATTATTTTATTATAAATCAATATTAAACAAATGCACTACAATGTCGTTATTACGGCAATAGTGTTGCTTAAAATTGTTTGTGGTTTGAGCTTTTGACAACGTTTTGACATATAAAGTAATTTATAATTTCATTGTTTAATTGAAAAAATTTTTTGGTAAAGTCATAAATGTAATAAGTCATAATCAAAAATAAAATATATACGAAAATTATTTGCCTGAAAAAGGAACTGTAGAAAATCGCAATTTCATAAATTTTCAAAGAGAGAAAAGAATAAAAACAATATGGGTTGTGACGGTGGAACTATTCCAAGACGTGACGAATTAGTTCGTACTAAAAAGAAACCTGAACAGGTAATTCACTAATTTTTTTTAAGAAAATTGTCATAATTTTAAATTTGGAATTTTGTAGAAAGATAAAGATTCGGAAAGACAATTCCGATGGTTGCATTGTGCTTTGACGCAAGAGCGATTGCAACAACCAATTGTAATGTGCGGTTTGGGGCGATTATATTCAAAGCAAAATATAATAGAAGCGTTGTTGGATAAGGAAAAGATTCCTGAAACCATATCCCACATCAAAAGTTTAAAAGATATTAAAGATCTCAATTTAACTGCAAACCCAGCATATAAAGACAGTGATAAAACTGAGGGTCTTCTGGACCCAAGAAATGCGCCCTTCATATGTAAACTAATAGGAATAGAAATGTCGGGCAAATTTCGATTTATTGCTCTATGGAGTTGTGGCTGTGTGTTTTCTGAAAGAGCTTTCAAACAAATAAAAACAGGAATTTGTGCTCTATGTCAAACAGCATATTCAGAGGAAGATGTTGTAATATTAAATGGAACAGATGAAGAAATTGACCAAATGAGAGAAAAAATGATTTCACGAATTGCTAAAAGAAAAACAAAGAAAAATAAAAAAGCTGTAGACACGACAAAAAGCGAATCTGAGGAATATTCAGAAAAAACCTCCAAACCATCTACCAGTGTCTTGGACAGTAACAAATTATCCAAAAAAATTGAAACTCAAAAAAGAAATGGAGAATTGCTCGATAAAATGGCTGATCCAGAAATGAAAAAACTAAAAACTGAAAGTGTTGCAAAGGATCCTAAAGCTAGCGAAGTGTATAAGTCGTTGTTTACTTCACACCGATCTGAAAAGCAACAAGATCGAGCTCACTGGGTTACATATAATCCATTTTACAATTAAAACAATGTAGTGTTTTGTTGATTAATTTAATATATACATTAAATAGATTAATTAAACATTTCATCAAAAACGTCTGCTATGTCTAAATCTCTTACAGCTGGTATTCTATTTCTATTTTGTAGTGTATTTAAGTGATCAGGGTTTTCCTTTAATAAGCAAACTAGACTTTTTGGACAGTCACAAAATACTTCGGGAGTAAAATTTTGCCTATCTATATTGTGATACTCTGTGTTGTGGTATTTACAGTATTTTTCTGTATTCCAATGTTCATCTCTGCAGTTTTCTATTAAGTTATCACACATTTTTCCTTCTTTATTAATATAATTGCATCGAAAAATTTGATATTTATCTGTGATTGTTTCCAATTGGTCGATTCTTGGGGTCATCATTAAGTTAATAGACGGATATATGAAAAAGGCGAAAAGTGTTAAACATACCAAGAATAAAACTGGAATAATTAAAGCAAAATATTTATCTGGTAAATAGTATAAACCTAATTTGTCTTCTAAAATTGACTTTGGCACATATGCGTAAATCAAATATATAATAAACAACGTATGTGATAATAAAAATAAGGCGAAACCGTAGACAGCCCGCGCTGAAATAAGTAAATTTAAATTTATTTTACAGGATACTCAAACTACTTGCTTTCTTAGTTACCTGGAGTTGGAGCTGGCGAATGTTCCGACATTTTAAGATAAGAATATGGCTAATTGTAATATTTATATTGTTCTTTAGGTTCTCCAAACTCCTTGATTGTTTCACAACACAATAAAAGCGAATCAAAAAAAGATGATACTCCTACACGAACATTTTTAGCCAAATCTCCGGTGAATTCTACTACCAAAATGTTTTCAATTAAATCTAGTTTTTTGGAAATAAAACTTCTTTTTGGTTCAGAATCTATTCGCAAAACATCATACACTAGCCTCGCTATTCTTTCGCTGCTGTATGGAATTTTTACAATGCTGAAAAACAACACAACATTATTAAATATTTTTTACAATATTACAACAACAAAAAACAATGTGATATAAAATATTTTAATTACACTTTATAGGACTTTTTTTCATCATCATTCATCTTGAAAAAACAAACATTTATTGGGAACTTATTTTGTAATCCCGATAATCGTAGAAACTCAAAACACTGAAATTGAAAATTTAAGTACCTATACGCATATAACAAAGCAAAACAAAATAAAATTATTTTGCTCTTTGTTGATTGAACTTAGTATTTTTAAATTTTGAAAATGTTGACTTAAAATTGTTTTGCATGGAACCTAAACCTAACCTATATTGATTATTGATTGTAAAAACTAGTGACGTTTAGTTTAATTAAATTGATGTGCACACGAAATTAAAGTTGTAAACAAAGTTTTTGCGGTCGCGTTTTGCGGTAATATACATCCTACAAAAATATATTTTTGAGGAAATTGTAACGTTTCCCACATAAATCTGCACGTAATAAATCTTAAATTTTATTCTAAACGCCTTAATGTAAAATTAAAATCACAATGTAACAGAAAATAATAATAGGTATTAAAATCACAATGTAAAATAATAATAGGTAATAACAGAAGCAAAGCGGAAAGCGATAGCGGCGGTCGATTTCTGTTGTTAACGCAATACAACAACGGACCGACAAAATCATTTCAGTATTTTCATTCAATGTCACACACACATGGAGGCTTGAGATTTATGAGGTCAAAAAATAGCCAGCAGTAAAATAAAACTTGAAGCTATTTTACCGTTGTCAGTTGAATTCGCGAAAAATCACTCTTGTTTTGTTTTCAACTTCGAATATTTCGAAGTAAGTATTCAAATAACATTTTCGAGTGCTTTTGAGTTTAAATTTATTATATTAAAAAATATGTTATCAAGAATTTTTGGTTTTGGATACGTATGATTATTTTACTGATATAAAAAGTTTAGTAAAATTTTAAAAGGTTTTTTATTTTTGCAACCAAAAAAAATTGATTTTTGACTGAAAACACACCTTTCATATTGTAAATTGTACGATAAGGAGTTTCAGGAAAAATAATCTAGGAATTCTGCTAGAAATGTTGTTTGTTAGGTTACACTTTTGCTTGCAACATTTTACTTTTTTTGTTGCGTTTTTAGTTTAATTTGTTGAACGTCAAGAAACTGTAACAATACAAAACAAAACAAAAAATTACCATTAAACTGCATCTATGTACCTAAATATAAATTTTGATTAGTATTGTAATATAAAATATTATTTATTTAAAATTTTATTGTAATGCAGAAAGAAAGTCGAGCAGAAATAACGCTTTTCCACTTATCGTGGGAAGATATTTTATTTGAAAATTTAGTTATATATTTATCATTAAAGGATTTATTTAACTTGCGGGTTTGTTCAAGGTTGGCTTAAAAAGATTTGAAACTTATTGATATTGCGATGCCATGATATATTTTTATATTTTTTCTTTGAGTGTGTGCAAACAATTTGTGGATGAAGAATTTCGCCAGAGAGGTGTTGTTAATTTAGCAGGGAATAACACTAAAGGAATTGAATTAGCTTTTAAGGTTCTCGTACAAACTTGCAGTAGAGTGCATACTCTTAACTTAGCGAACTGTAAATGGTTGAATGACGAACTTCTAGTAAATTTTTTAAAAAATAATGAAAATTTGAAGTATGTAAATTTAAATAATTGTATTGATTTGTCAGCTGCTTCTCTACAATCAATGTAAGTAGAAAACAATAACGTGTAAATTATAAAAGTACTGTAAATTAATTGTATTTATATATTTATAGAATTATTCAATCAAAATTTTTAGAAGTATTAAAATTATCAAAATGTAATTGGTTAACTACTGGAGCCGTAGATGCTTTGACTTTGCATCAAAGTCATCTAACTGAATTTGATATATCTCATTGTTCGGTAATTGGAGAAAGATGTCTGTTAATATTTTTTAGAAAATTGAGTAAACTAGAAACTTTATCTTTGGCTTATTGCCCAAATGTCACAGATAACGTTTTGTGTCAAATATCAAGATTTTGTAAAAAGTTGAAACATTTGAACTTAATTGGATGCACAACTATAACAGATTTTGGCATAACGTAAGTACAATAAAAGAGACTTCGGAAAATTCATAAGCAAATCCTTTATTTAAATTTTTATTAGGAAACTTTCACTGGGGTGTTCAGAATTGGAGGCTTTAATGGTTCGCAACTGTCCAAATATCACAGAGCAGTCATTACATTCACTTCGAAATCGAATACATATTGATCGACCACCAATTTATCATGATGTACCATTTCCACGTCATTTTCATTTAAATCTACAAGTATGATATTTATAGATAGTTTTAAATAAAAAAAGTTTAATTCCATAATTTATTAATACGAAAATTTAGATTTATTTTTATAATGTAAATAGAATTGTTGGCATACCTACATATTTTTAACTGATTTTTATGAAGTTATAAAAATTTTTATGTTTTAACAATGGACAATAAAAAATTCAAAATTTTCTTTATTTTAATTTATTTGTTTCCCTATTAAGGAAAATTTCTACAATGTTGTAAAGAAAACAATACAAGAGTATTAAAAAAATGATGTTTAAAACCGCGGACTATTTAGAATTTTTGTATTTACTTATATTGAATTAATATTGCTGTTTTTTAAAAGATTTATAAAAAAAAATTATTCTTATATGTATTAGCAAAAATCATAACTTACTCTTATATATAATGTGCATATTACGAAAGATGTTTGTATTATTAACAATATTTTTGGTTTGATTACATGCGATTTTTACCTTTCTAAAGTTAGCGCGCAATGGCCATTAATAGCTCTATAAAAATCAAAATATAAATTTTCTCAAATAAAATGAAACAAATTTTATTTTTCATAATAATACCCTTTAATTAAGAATGTAATAAAGGTTTTTAACAAATTTATTTTCTTACAGCTAAGTGTTCTAAAAAAAATTTATATTAATTTACTATACAAACATATCAATTAAAAAATAGCAGCCTTTCGATTTCGTTTTTTAAACATTATTTTCTTTTTTTTTTACTTATTTGTGAAATTCCACATTTTTTTTACATAAATTACAAGTTTTTATCTTTTCTAAATCCAATTTTATCTCAAATTAAATAATGAAAAAAAAATAAATGTGATAGAATCAATCATCCTTCGAGCAAAACAATAAATTGATAATTATTAAAAATTAAAGAGGAAATTAAGACAATATTTTACTCAATATACAAATAATTTGCTTAAATATGTTTTAAATAAGCATAAACCTAAAATAAGTTATAAGAATTATATATAAATACGTAATTCATATGAATAGAGCGATGTAGAAACACTTTTTTTTTTATTAAAGGGAAATCCCTTCATGGAAGAGTTATGCAATAATTGCAAACGAAAAATTGGTGCCTTTTTTATATATGTACGTAAATTTTTTAAATAGTTTTTTTTACGCTTATTCTTACGTTATGTTAATTTTATATGTGATCTTATTTAAGAAGCATCTTTTATTAAAAAGACACGACTATTGCTTTTAATTAAAGGTTAACGATTTTAGCATTGCCTACAAGTGACTTATGTATACATATATCAATTTTAATTTTTAATACAATTGAGCAACTGTAATGCAGTATTTCCTCCACTTAGGGTTTAAATATAATCGAGTGCTTTTGGTGCCATTATGTAAATAGTTATTTTTTACTAAAGTACTTTTATTGAATTATTTCACCTAAGCAATTCTCGTTTTTGACTACAAAATTTAACATCATATACGTTATCTTATATGTATATTCATAATATAATTCATTTATTATTTTGTGATAATAAATCTCGCTCGTTTATATAATTCAATTACTTCAAATGTTATATTTTTTTGAAAAACGAGATTTCACTTAAAATAATATTGAAAATCATTTAATTCAAATCAAAAGCATACTAAATAATATTTAAAATTTAAGTATGTTCTTTTTATAATTATAAATAACTATGTTATAATATTAATATAATTTAAAAATAAAGTATAGCACAGACCTTATAATGATATATAGGTCCAATGATCACAAAATGATCAACTATTTTTAATTTTAAATATAATATTATATTATATAGATACATATAATACTATATATATGTACAGAATTTTCTCCATTAATTTTATATGCTTGTTTTACAGATATACTTAAACTTGTATATTTTTCATTTATAATAGTAGTAACTTTTCAAAAATTAAACATAAATAATTCTTTTTCATATACATAATTACTAGATAAACAGAAAGAATATTTAGAAATAACTTTTGTTGTTATTTTGCTTCCTCTCTTCTTGTTAATAACAATTATTATTCAAGTTTAAAAATTCCTCGATTTTCAAAATTAATAGAAATTTAAAAAATCGAAGACAAAAACTATAAAACTTTAAAAATTTATTTCTATAACGAATAAACAAAAACAATTTCCATTTTTACTTTTTACTTTAATTTTATGAAGTATCATAAAAATCGCTATTAAAATGAGTGGTTAAAACATATACAACAGCCTCATATGTTGCCATCATAATTGCTGTATTTGGTATTTGTCGTACTAATTGAGTGGCTAGTCCCCTACAAAATATTTATATTTTAATATATTCACGTTTCTTGACGAATTATGTTTACCTGTATAAGCCCGCTCGACCTTCTTCCTTCCACACAGTATGTAATGTTTGCCAAAATCTGTTATATTTATTTCCTTCTTCTCTTAGCCTTGTTCGTGCTACTTCATGTGGATAGGCTATGCAAGAAGCACAAGTTTTCGATATAGCACCAGCTAACATAAATTCTAAGAAATCTCGTGACGTTTTTTCGTCAATTGGATGTGCTTGTCTAAGAGTAATCTATACAATAAATTGTTAAAGTTAAATTGTTAACTTAAATTTCTTATTTTCTTTTAATATTACCAATTTCGCTTTCACTGCTTCATATATTACAAAGTGTATTACAGTTTCCGATATTCCAAAGTAACTAGCCGTTATACCCTTATAAAAACCTAAAAATCCGGACGCTTTATATATTTGTTTAATACATTGTCGTACTGTCATTTGATTTTTTGAATTGTAATCTAATTGTAAACGAGTTTTAACAAACCATATTGGATTTGTTGCTGTTGCTGCTGCAAAACCAGCACAAGAAGCACTTAATATATGTACAATAGGAGAATCTGGTGGAAGAGATCTAAAAAATAAAAATACAAAATCATTTCATTTTTATATAATCATTTTGAAAATGGATGAATATTATACACTTTATATCAAATATGTATAGACAGTGTATTTAAATTCATTTATTAATTATAATTGTGTACCCATATCGATTTAAATTTGCTTTGGTTTGAGAATATGTACAAAAATATATTGCTCTAGATGGTGCTACTCCAACTATATTAGGACCTAGACCTTTAAAAAGTGCTCGTGTTCCTTCCGTTTGAACAATATGTCTAAAATAAAAAAATTAAAAATATATCATTCTTGCAAATTGAGTTTTTTTATTGATTATTAAAATTTAATAACTAAACTACATTTAATTATCAATATAAAAATCAATGTACCTTAAACATTGCCAAATACTCATTGATTTAGCTGATGAAGAAATTCCACAATGTGATATTGTTAAAACCTTAAAAATTTAAATTATTTATTATTTATTTAAATTGAAAATAGTTTTATTTATTTTAAACCTGTGGTAATTTCCGTTTTCTCAAAATTGTTGTGCATAATTTACGCCTTTGATCTGGTCTCAATAAAGCATCTGTTGTAGTGCTACCATTTTGTGATGTTTCTGGTATCCTTGGTGGTTGTAAGAATGCAGAAGAACTTTGTAATCGTGTTTTAACCACTTCTAATGGACATGTTACAACTGCTCCAACAGTTCCAGCAGTGCTAAAAAATTAATTAATTAAAAATAATTATTTTTTTTTTTAAATCAATTTGAAAAATAAAAAATAAATTCTTGATAAGAAATTATTTAAAATAACATTTGCTTTTTGATTTTTTTTTTTGTGGAATGAAGCCACCATACATTAGAAAAATTGATAAATGTATACTTAGAAAGGTAATTAATCTATTTTTTTTTTCTTGAATGAAATAATTTTTGAAAGATTAGACCTCACTTTTTAGTTCATTTTTATTTATTTCAACGTAGAAGACTTACTTACATGCAAAAAAAAAATTAATAATTTTCAAACCAAATGGTTGTTGATAATAATATTATTTTAATATTAAATATATATGAACTTAAGAAAAATATTTAATTATTGATAAGAAATTGAACTAGATTTTTTATTTTAATTCTAGTTTTAACCAGTTTTTTTTTTGTAAGATTCAAGATGTTAAGAATATTTTCTTTTATTTATGTAAAAACTTTATTTAAACTTTTTGAAAACAATGATTAATGCCGCATAAATAAACAATTTCTAATTTTATAATGCTTATTAAGTACATATATTTTATAATACAATAAATAAATTTATGTTACAATTTTAAATGTACATATGTATACGTATTGGCAAAAATCATCCTACAAATACTTAATGAATTCTGATGCTGTTATTTAATTTCACTTAAAAATTTTCATATTAAAATTGAATCACATTTTCATAACTAAATTTATTTTTAAAAATTATATTTACTTGCATATACGTACGAGTATATTGAATATTTATAAAAAAGGAATAAAAAAATATATATATTTTTTTAATTTTCATCATAAGAATTACCCCCTAAAACTAAATAATGCGAAGATTTTTTATTTATTTTATTTTGTCGATTTAAAATATAAAATATGCACATGTATAAGAATATATTTAAGAAAATTTATATAATTAATATGGTAAACAACGCTAAAAAGAACCTATACTTAATGTCCTAATACAAAATATTAAAAAAATGTTCATAATAAGTAGGTAATAAAAATAAAAAAAATTGTCAGACTCATATAGTTAAAAACGTATAGTGTAGCTATAAGGGAATTTTTTTAAATCACAAAAAAGTAAAAAAAAAAATAAGGAAATTATTATTTATTTTAATCAAAAAGTGAATAAGTGATAAAGTATTTAAGCTAAGTATATCAATGTAAATATAAAATGTCTGTGTTCGAGATAAAAAAAAAAAATTTGTTTAAAACTTGCGATTATTACTTAGATAAATCTAATTTTAATTTTTGTCTAAGGCCAAATTTTTTTTTTATTTTTAAAGATAATAAATAAGCAGACAGGTACATAGATTCTGCGTAATTATTTTATTTATTTTGTTTTATTTTTTAATAAGAACCATAATTAATTATTTATAGTAAATTATTAAACTTTAATTAATAAACATAGGTATATAGTCATTACACTGTATCTCAATATTTCTTTTATTTTTATTGCTATATAAATATAATAATTTTGTACATAATAATTTAATTATATTAAAAATATAATTGTAACTGTATTACTTACATAAATACAATAAATATGTATATATTTATAAATAAAATGCATTATAAGTACCTAAGTATAATTATGCAAAATAGTTTTGTTGAAATTTGTAAACAAAAAAAAATTAATATTTTAATAAGTACTTAAAATAAATAATTATTTATAATTTGTAAGTATGTTCGCAAGAAAATTAAATGAAATATGTAAACAAAAATTACAGTCAACTCTATGTACTTGAAATAATACTCGTAATAAATAAATAGATAACAAAAAAAATTCTTATCATAAGTATTTCATATTTGAGTATTTAACCACCCTTTCGCTGCCTTCCTTAACTATAACCCCCTTTAATTATCAGAATCAGTCAAAATAGAAAGTTCTCTTAATAGTTATTTTTGATCACACATTTCATTAAAAAAAAATGCTTATTTATTTACGTGTTTAAAACTATATATAATAAGAATATATACAATAAAAATAAGTAAGTAATCTAGGTTAGTCGCAAAATTTAAGTACATGCAGGTATTTTAATCAATTATAATATAAAGATAAGATATTTACTTATAATAAAATTAAAATTTATATTTATATTTTAATTATTTATTTATTTAGATAGATATCTAGCTACTTACGCAAATAAAGAAAAGAGAAACGTTTATTTCACACATTGTGTAAAGTAAATACAAAAAATACTTTTATAAAATAAGTATTTTTCATTTATTTATGTATATTAGAAAAATAGTAAATCCTGAAGTACGTATGGTATAAGAATAATATTTAAAGATAATTGTTCAATTTTTTTTTCTTTGCAATTTAAATAATGAAAGGTAAGTAGTAAAACTCTAGTTCAAATATTTTGCAAGTTCAAGTTTATTAACTCAAAAAAAAAATTAAGTGCAAAATTTAAGGTTGTATACAAGTAGGACCTTAACAATAAACAAAATAAAAAAAAACAAATAAGTATTTTTAATAATGATTTAAATCAATATAACTAACAAAATTATTTATTAATATATTATAGACAACAGCTATGAGTAATAATATTGTATTTAAAGTTTTTGGTGTTTATTTATTTATTTCGTAAAAATTTTAATAAAAAATCGAATTATTAATTTAATAATGAACAGGTCAGGTAAGGAAAATTTCAGTACGTTGTTATATTATTTTAAATAAATACCTACCTAGATAAGTAGACAAAATAATAAATAACAATGTTTATATTTTTATTTAAATACAATAAAAACAAATAAATATGTAGTACATACCTATATATGTATATATTCAATTTTTTATCATGCTTTATTTTGGCTACCAATTTATTTATAGAATATTTTTGTTTACATTTTATTCTTCATTTATAAATAAAAATGCATAGCTACATATATAAAAATTTTTATTGCTACAATTTTTTTTTTTTTGTAAGTATAGGTAGGTATATATGTACCTACCTATCTACCTATTAATCATTCAAACACTCATACTCATTTAATTTAATAAAATTTGTTTACATTTTTTTTCACATTACATATTTAATATGGCTTTTCTAATAAATTTATTCTAATTACAAATAATTTTTCAATTAAATCAAAATTATTATGATTATTTGAATTGCTTACTGTATTTTGTTTAAAGTAACTATCTAAGTACCTAAATAGGTACACAAAATTATTAAAAAAAAAGGTATTCATTACATAAAATTACTAAATTGTTCATAAATTATTGTATTTTAAAAGAGGCATTTTCGCAAATAAAATAAAAACTTTAGAAAATATTAAAGTTTAATATTTTATCCATGCTAAAAGTCACGTAATATGTTGGCTGTTATTTACTAACAATGCCTCAATCTCCTTTTATATTTCATTTTTTGTTTTTTTATTTTCAAAAATTTTTGTAAGAAAATCATTTAGTTGTATTGCGCATTACAGAAGCTAAATGTAAGTTTACATGCATATAAACATAAAAAATAATTTATCAGTTACAACATTATAATTTTGTTAAATAAAGAAGTTTTATTATTACTTGTCTGTCGAGGTTGACAGCAATTTTCGAATTATCTACTTTTTTTTATTACCTCTTTTTTTTTCTTTATTTTGTAGAAAATCAGAAAATCAATAAAAATGTTTTATTTTTTTCTTCTTATTCTGTTCAGTTTTTTCCCCAAGTCAAGCCAAAACTTCAGGATGTTAAAAAAAAACAAACTTGGAAATGAAGTAAAATTTAATTGTGTGCTTTCATGTCAGATGACTTTCTTATCAACAAAATAAACAATTACCCACCTATTACATACTTAATTATTATTAACTAGGTTCCTAAATATAAACTTTGCTATTTAGTGGATTAAACAACCCATTTTTCATTGAAAACAAAAAATATTCAATATCTATTTAAAATTGAACGTACTTAATGAACTACGTACCTTTTTCATACCTATACCTAATTATAAAACCTATATTTTTTTTATAAAATACACATTAAAAATTTTTCGAGTAAATGGAAATATGCTTAAATAACGTGATTTTTTTTTTTTTTTTTTGTATTCATTTTATTATTTATGAAAATTCTTGCTTATACAACTTTAGGTCTAAAATTAGAATCAATATGCTAATAATAATAATAAAGAATAACAAAGTGATCTACAATTATCTGCATATACGTTATTTTATTCTGACGAACTGAAAAATGTTAACGTAGGAGACTTTTTATATATTTTCATTTATTTACAGAGTTCATAGTTCAATAAAAAGCTATATAATTTTTTTATTACTCTATATTTATTTTATATATTATTATAAATAAGTATATAAATAGGCATTATATATATAAAATTTTTATATTATTATCTATTTAAAAAGAACCTACTTGTATGAAGGGACTTTATCTAATAATAAACTTGAGATTTTTTAATAAGTATAAAAAATATAAGTAGATACTGATATATAGATATGGATACATACAAGTACTTAGCTTTTATTATTATTATTATTACAATTATTGATTAAACTTACCCTCCTGCTATTAAATGAATAAGGGTATCACGTTCCCTTTTATTCATTTCGCAGTTTTCTTAAAAAATGTAAATAAAAGTTTAATCCTTCTATTTTTTCTTACTTTTATTTTAAATTTTTCGGTAGGATTATAAAGTAGTTAAACATTAAGAAAAAGAACAATAAAAACAAAAATGATTATACACGCTGTGACCCCGTGTTTACGAAAAATTCACATCAGTTATAAATTTATACAAAAAGTCAATATGAAATTCTTGTTAGCTCTTTTTTATTCAAAATTATTTTCTTTTCAAATAATCCTTTTTCTTTTATTTTATTTAAAATTTTTGATCTCTATTATAAATTTAATTATATTTAATTTGTTATGTAATTTTATCAATTGAAAATATTTATTTGTACGAAAAATATTTATGAAGACACCAAAAATATTTTGTAGTTGTACAAAATGAAAAAACGAATATACGCCTTATTTAGCGCAGCAGTTCATTAAAAATCATGAAAAAAAAAACTTTGCCAGAATATTTAAAACTTTATATAGATAAAAATATACACTTTTTTCTATATATACATGTAATATATAATGTACATATATTATTTACGTTGTTTTTTTTGTTGAATAATTTTGTTTTTTTTTTAATGCAAGTTCTAATAACAAGATTTATAATTTTTTAAAAGTTTTTGAAAACACTTTCTATAAGACCGGCTTTGCTAATAAAATAAAAATTTATTTATTATTTTTTTTTTATTTTTCAGATAAACTTTCCCTATCTTATTTGTTGTTCACAGACTATTATCAAACTACACACCTCAATTCTCTACTGAAAAATTGAAATTGTAAAAAATTTTGATTGATGTCAAAACTTTTGAAACTTCTTCTATTTTGTTTTATATGTCAAAAGTAGTGTTGGCGCTGTATATATTTCTTGAAACATATGAAATTTGTCAAATAAATAAAAATGTCAATAATATATATTTTTAATTTTTGTTTTAAATTTGAATTTTTATTGGGTTTTATAAATTAATTGGGATTCATTTAGGAAGTTTAAATACAGTCAACCAAATACTTATATTTTTATATTAATTTAGTGTTCTTCTAAATATAAAATATTTTTATCATTTTGTTGTCAATTTCGACAATTACTTGTTATTGTTGTGTAAACTGCGTTTTAGTTTTAAAAAATGAAAACAACTACATCAGAACAACGGTTTTCATGGTGCGGTTTATTATTTTCAGACTATTTCCTATGAAGTTATGATAAAAGTCAAATTATAAGACAAGACAAGATGAAGTTCAAAATGATTAAAAATTTTACTTCAAGGACCGTTATTGTGGTTGTTTTGTCATTTTGACATAAAATTGCTTGTAAAATAAAACAAAATTCATTAAATATGAAGCCATTTAAATAACTTTTAATTTGTATTTCGAAATTTAATCACAACTACTACAGTATTTCTCCATAATGAGCGAATTTTCGAAAAAAAAATTTGCCGCAGCTTGTTTAAATAAGAGCTGTCCTAGTTAACATTTTTTGTATATTACATTGTTATGAAGTCAAATTTATCAAGAAATGTTAGGAAAAAACAATATTCAAGAATACTGTCACTGTCATTTCTACCCAATACACATTCACTTTCTATAAAAATGTTGGCAATTTGTGAAAATATTATTAAGGAATAAATGGAATGAAACATTATTTTTTTTTCATTCAATGGATAACAGTTAAGCATTCATTATAGAAAGTAAAAGAAAAAAAACACATCACGAATTTTAATGAAGAAAAAAAATATTGCTCATTTATTTACAGAATAATTTAAAAATTATAAACCATACAATTAAATTTTATTTTAAATTAAAAAATTTTTTAAATGTATTTTATATTTATATCATATATTTTTTGTTTTTATTTATTTAATAAATACATATTCTAATTTTTATATACCTAAATACATAATACATAATATATAATATATACATAAGTATCTTTGTAGATAGAATAATTATATCAATTTTAACAAATTTTTTTCTTACGTCTTAAAATTTAAAAATAATTTTAATATTGTAAGGCAAAGATGTTAAAAACATATAGAATAAATTAAAATTATTAAAATTGATTTATCATTCTTTTATATTGTTTTATTACAAAAAAATTAATGTCCTTAGTTTTCGTGTTTAAAATTTTAATTTAATTTAAAAAAAAAACTTATTTTATTTTTTTCCAACAGATTTATATTTATATATTAAATATTATTTTATTAACTTTATTACCAAACCGGAAGCTAAACAATATACAACAATAATTGTATCTATATTATAATTATAATATATTGAGTTTTTATATAACTTAATTATTCATTTTTATTATATTCCATATTAAAGTCTATATTGTGTTTAGTAGAATTTGGTCCGTATAAATATATTTAATCAATTTTATTAAATACAAAAAGCGGTCATAATGCAATTATAAAATTAATAAAAAATTTACAAAAGAACTTTTCACAAATTTATAATTTGCAAAAAAAAATTAATTTTTTATTTTTACAATAATGATAATTGCGTTACAATAACAATAAGTAATTAAGTTATCATTGGTTTATGAAATATAAATAGATTTACATACACATTTTAAAAAGATGCTATAATTACATGAATTAAATTCTGATTCCATAAAAATTATTTTAAAAACAATTTTAGTGATGTTCAATTAATAAAAAGAAAGTTTAATCGGTTATTAGAGTTAAATCATTAATAGAGTGTGTGTGTGTTTTAACATTTAAAGATGGTTGCCACTCTTGAAAAAATTAATGGGCCAAATTTATATGCATAATTTTAGAAGTAAAACTCTTATTGGTTGTGTTTGTTGGTCTCTTGTATGAAGTTTAAAAATTTTCGGGATATACTCGTATAGAGAATTTGAAATGAAATCTTTAGTAAAACATACTTATTTTACTTTTGAAGAAGAAAAAAATTGAACTTTTCTTCTAGTTTTAGAAAATAGGTCAAACACGACTAATCACATGCCATGGGGTCAAAATGCTTTGAAATATTTGGACCAAAGTGGCAACGCTGTATTTGTAACTGCGAATATAAAAGCGTTTGTAAACTGAGAGTTTTTGATATTTTTTTAATATTTTGGAGTATATTTAAACACAATTTGTTTTAAATTTAGATAAATAATAAATAATTGTTTTGTTAAATAATATGTAATTAGTATTATAAATATTCAGGTAATATATATATATATATATATACTCAGGTAGACAATTAAAAGTAAATATATGATTAATGAAACAATTGAAATTAAATATATATAGGTACATTTTATATTATGTATATAGTACCCATGTGCGTTTTTATATTTATAATTTCGTTATTATTTAAATAACAATATAATTTTTGATTAATTATTTATTTTATTTTTAATCGATTTTATTTTATTTATATTTTACACAATATTATATTTTCAAATATATTGTTGTAAAAGGACGTAAATTTAAATTTTAATTAAATTTTTGAATCTTTTCTTTTTTTGTAATTACTAATATTAATTATTATATTATGATCTTTTTTAATTTTTAATATATATTATATAATCCTATATGTGAAATGCATATTGAGTATTTTTTAAACCAAAATAAACGTATATATGTATATTTAAATTAATAACTCGATATATAAAGGGAGGACGGAACTACAAATTTAAGGGTATTAAATTATAAAGTATATTATTAATTTTAAATTTCATTTTGAAAATATTTTAATTTGTTGCAACCAGTAGATATCATTGCGGCGATTTTAAAAAATCAAACAATTGTAGTAATAATTTTACTTAAATTTTACTCAAATAATACTGAAATATTTTATAAAAAAATGTTCTGCTTTGCTTTAAAAAATAGATGGAAAAAACTTGAATTTATTAAATTAAATGTTCATTTTAAATGTATGTAAATAATTAGGAAATTTTTAATATTTTCAAATGTTATCATTTACATACATATTTAATTTAATTTGGATTTTTAATTAATTATTTAAATTTAAAATATAATTAACTAAATTTTCAATTCATGAATGTTTTGATCGTGTGTTATAAATATAAATGTTACAATGAATATTGATAATTATACATAGAAATTTTATTTACGACAATTTTTGTAAAATTGGCAACGATCTTAAAAATATTATTTTTGTTAACAATTCTTTTTTAATTTTAAAAATTTACTTTTTTAATCGTTTTGTAATAAAATTTTTTTTTATTTTTAGTTATTATTTATATAATAATTAATTATTATACAATATAGGATTATGATATAGCAATTATTTTGAATTTAAAGTTTCGAAATCATAATAAAGTAAAGATTTGGGAAAATAATACTACAATAATGTAAAAAATGAACTCAAAATAAGAGGAGAAGACCACAAAATATTGATTTTATTAAATTAAGGCGCGTGTACAATTTAGTCAAGAGTTCATGACATTTTGTTTTATACATAATTAAGTATATACCTACATATAAATATTATATAAGTATATAATTTTTACATATAATCATAAGAAGTTTTCTTCATTTAATTACAATATAATGAATGTAAGTATTTATTTTGAGCCCATTTTTCACTATTCGTTGTGAAATTTATTCAAATTTGATTCAGAAAATATATGTACTTAATATAATTTCGAGTTAAAAGAGAAAAATAAATATTGTATTATTAAATAAATAAGGTATTAAATTTCAAAATAATAATTTTAATTTTTGATAGTCTTAAAAAATTATTAAATGAATTTTTTATTTAAAATTAATATTTGCTGCAAAACATTTATTTGCAAAAAAAAAATGTTTTAATTAGCTGCCTGTTATTTTATTTATAACTTTTAGGATAAGAAAACTTCATACATATATATAATATATAAGAACGAAAATAATAATAATGGCTTGAAATTCAATTTCTTTAATTTTTATAAATGATGTAAAAGGCACTATAAATTAAATTTTTTATTTTTTTTTCATTTTTTTTTATTTATACAAAAAATATTATGGATTAATTCTTAAATTTTCATTAAACAACGGCAAGAAAAACTTAAATTTAATATAGAACAGAAAAATATATTCAAGACTTTCAATACTTAACTGCATTTCCGAAGCATAGAATGGTAAATTAGTCTTACGAAAACAAAATAAAAAAATTGGACATTTTTATTTTTACGACTTTATTCTTTGAGTTATTGGAGCTCAATATTTTTGCATATAATACAATGAGCTTAGTATAGCTTTTGGTTTGCTCATAACAGCACATTTTTAACGGGTTTAGTAATTTTTTTTTAACTCTTACAGATTTTTCAAATTTTTCTCTTTACAATCATATTATTGTTGATATTTTTATAACAATGGTATCACAACATTAAACTGAATGCCAGAAAAGTAGCTTTTACTTCATATAAGAAATATGATATAACTATTAATATCACCCAATTTTTTATAGATATAAGCAAAATTTTAAAAATTGTTACTGTAAGTTTCGAAATGAGTTTATCAAACTTTACATTCTGAAAATGTGTAAAGACTGAGAGGTACAAATAAAATGTTTCCCATTATTTGTTTTTTACCTATAATTTTTTAGATTCGTTCGTTTTATTGTTTTACTTCTGGAATACTGTAGTGTCTTGAATATGCATAAAATAATTTTCGTGTTATAAATATAATATTATTTATTTTGGGAAAATACATATAAATTTATATATATAAACATATATAGTTAGATAAACATAGTAAAGGGCTCCTCAAATTGTAACTTTATAAAATAAAAACAGTAATATATAAATAATAAATTATATAGATTTTCAAAAATTATTTTTTTTTTATTACATCTACTCTATTTTATATATTATATTATATAAAGTTTAAAATTTTGTTTGGCTAAAAAACTATTATATAATTTTACATTTTCGATTTAATTAAATTTATATGTAATTTTATAATAAAATTATTTTAATAATAACTTTGATTTTAATAAATATATTATTAAATATGCTATTAATAATTTTTATAATAATAATTGTGCTAAGTAAATTTTAATAAATTAAGTTTTTTGTTTTTATTTTTTTTATGCTTTTTTTTATTTATTTATTTATATAAATGTTGAATTGAATCTAAAGAATTTTTTTTATAATACAAATTTAATAATTTTGCATTGCAACTGATGAAGTAAAAATTAATTTTTTCCATTTTTTTTTTCCTTTTCATTTCATTTTTTTTTATTTTCATTCTTATTGCAATATAATTGTTTTTTTTTAATTTAATTTGAATTTATGCTAAATTTATTAAACTTTTAAAAATTTATCTTTATTTCATTTATTACATGTGTAAGAGATTTTTTACAATGTTAAAAATTTACTATTTTTTTTTTTTAAGTTTAATTTTCTTTTCTTTTTATTTTTGCTACTAAAAAACTTTATCCATAAATTTTGAGTATTTTTCGAATGAGAATTCTACATATAAAATTTTAATAATATTTATTATTGCTTAAAAAACCAAGCAGAATTTAAGGTTAGAATATCAAAATTCTAAAATGAAATATGAGCTATTCGTTCTTTTTGAAAATCATACAAATTCGCTTAAAAAAAAAACAATTTTAACGGTAAAAAATTTTAATACTCGTACATATGAAAGAATGATTTTTTATAATTATAGTTTTGAAAAGCAGCTCATATATATACATATGGTTAAAGCTAAGTTTCTATTTAATATAAGTAATAATAATGTAGTGTTAAGTTTAAACTACATTTTCATAAACGCACAGTAAATATAATTTAGATATGAGGAGTCCTTACATATAATAGTATAGAATATATAAATTATATAAATTTATATTCGTTATAATAAGGATATTTAAATTATAATAAAAATATAAACATAATTAAAATTAAAATAAATATTATGATTTACTTATATTAATACTATACAAGGAAAATATAATATTAAATTTGTAAAATATCAAAGATAATTATAGAATTAAATTTGAAATTTTATATACATATAATAATGTATGTAAAATATAAAGATAGAGAAATATTATATAGATTTAAAGATAGTTTTAGTATTAGTTAAACGCATATTATATAATATTCGGTATATATAAATACAATAGACAAGAAAAAAATTTTACTCTTACACTGACTAAATTCAAATATTTATACTTTTATTATGGTATGCCTCTTTTTTATGCAAAATGGAAATTATTGTAATGTTTTTGCAATTAATTGAGAAAGTAAATTATTACATATACATATGTATGAATCCAGTTGTGTTAATATATCCGGACTATATTGCGGATCCCAATTATATGAGCAAATTAATTGAGCTTTAAAATATTTAAGTTTATTTTATAAATTTTTATGAAGAAAAATTAAAAATTCTTAGAGACGATAAATTGGTTTGGCTTCAGCACTACATTTGGAAAAAATATAAAATAAGGTGGTAATATTTTTTTATTTTAATATTTTTCCTTATCATTAAATGAAAGTTATAGTTCTTTTTTTTGTGAAATTAAAATCGAAATTTTATGTAATTAATGCATTTTTATGAATATAACACTTAATTGGAATATTTTTTGTGGCACGAACTATCTGTTATCCTGCTATAAATATAAAACTTTTGACTTTGACATTCATGGTGATAGTCAAATTTGATAAAATAAAATATAAAATTTTTTCTATTTAAAACGAATACGATGTCGTTTGGTTTTTGTAATTACTGAAAGAATTGAGAAATTATAATTGAAAATAGGAAAATTTCAAAAAAAAAATTAAATTTTTTATTTATTTAAATTTTAACTACAATGTAACAAAAAATATTTCTTAAATAAAATTTTCAAAAGGGAAAAGAACGGATCTCTACTATTCATCATGTGGAATTTATCATGTGGAAGGGATTGTTGATAAATAATCAATTATGAAAATTTTACATTTTTAGTATTTAAAACAAGAGTCATGGTTTATTATAAAATTCAACAAAATTAATTGCTACTAATAAAGTTTTTATAATTTTTACTCATTTAAAAATATTATTTAAAACTATAATTATTTATAGTATATATATTTATATTGATATTATACATATACATATATATTGGTAAGTTATAGATTTTGCATATTTAAATTGGAACACATTAAAACAGAATTTATAGAGTAATTTTTAAAATTTGTTTTGGATTTCTATTGTATGTAAGTATATGTATACATTTAAAAGTTGTTAAGAAAATTTATAACTTTTCGAAGTAACAATAACATTTTTTTTATGGATTCTATAATTTTGATCTTTCCTACTTCTAAATCTTTTTCAAAATTGAATAATTTTGCTTGTTTTTACGTTTAAATCATATATTTTTCTTTATACATATTGATGGTGCTTGTGCATTCTAAAATTATTTACAAATAATTGAATTTAATTGAAATCATAATAAAAATATTTTAAAATTGTATATTTTTAATTTCTGTTTAACATTTTTTATTAAATTTCTCTTTTATTTTTTAAATATTTATAATTTTGAATTAAACTATCACATAATAACATTATCGGGTTCATTTGGACTTATTGGAGACATTTCAACGCTATCTAAAAGTGGTGTTTTTTCTTCACTCATACCTCCAATTATTTTACAAACATCTTGATGTAATGAATCATCTTCTGAGCTATCTTGACTTGATTGATGTAATTTATCAGAATTTTTAATTGATGTTGATGAAGACGGTGATGATGATGCAGATGCTGATGATATATTACTACTATTTAATTGTTGATTAATTGAACTCTGACTTGAACTGTTTTTATTGTCATTATTAGAATATTCGTCTTCAGAAACGCAGTCTGTTATTGCGGTTTGTTTTAATTTTGATAAACAGAACGATTGTCTTTCTGATATTAATGATGAAGATGAGCATACGGTTGGTTTTTTATCTATGCTTATATTATCACTTAGTGTAACTAAATCATCACAAATTAATTTTGGTAAAGAGTTTTTATTAATATTACTAGTATTATTAAAGTTTAACGTTTGATGAAGACTTTGATAAGAGCCACCTGCAGTTATACTGCTAGATGCACCGCATTCATTAATACTACTGTTACTACTACAAATACCACCACTACTTGCGCCACTGTTATTACCACCTCCGGCAATAATATTAATTGCCGCTGATGTTGTTGTTGTAATCACATCAGTAACTGATTGCCCACGATTTAATATTCTTTTCTCTTCTTGATTGTCTTTCATAAATTTACGACTTACATGTGGTGAGTCTAATATTGAATCATTTGACTTTGCAATTTTTGTTTTACGATACAATAAACTATCTTTCCACATAGTTGTACGGCATGTATCGCTACCACGAAATGATGAATGCGTTAATTTTTTGTACTTTTCACTATTAACACGATTTTCCGAATTCGTACGATCTTTTATTGGCATAAATGCACTGTCGATTCGACGCTCTTCTTCTAGTGATCTAAATGCCATTTTATTTACTTGTTTTAAATTCTTTCGATTTGGTGACATATCCTCAAATGAACTAACACGATATTTTTGTGAGAAAACTTCTAATGTACCGGACTTTTTCGAAGGTGACGTCGTATAAATTGAATTTTGGTCATTAACTAAAATTTTCGGTGGATCAAATTGTAAATTCGAAATTGAAGAGCTAATTTGTAACGGTTTTCGTTTTGGTGATAACGATAATGAATGTTGTGAACGATTCATATCATCACCTGAATGAACACCCAAATTGGACGACGAATAATCTCGGCTAACTGATGGAGTTGATGTAGCTGAATCACCATTTTGATTTTGCCTAAATAATTCTAAACTTATTTCTTTTCCATTAGTTTCCGTTTGCGTTGTTGTTGCTATAATTATATCTTCAACACCTTCGTCTATAGGTGATGAAATTGATTGAAATGAACTTAAACGAAAACTTGATGCTACCGACAGTTCACCATCTGTTAATGAACCAAATGCCGAATCTTGTGATGGATTACTCCTACCATATTTTAAGCGACCATACTCGAGACGACGACTTTTTGAATTTTTATAATTACAAATATCGGCTGTCAATTGATTACTTGATACTGATACTGTTGTGTTATTAGAATTAATAGCTGATGGTGAAATACTTAATTCAATGGCGGGTGAATATTCATTTTCATCGTTGTTTATTTTAAATGCATTCATTGATGGAGTAGGGGTTGCTGATGCAGTTGCTGATGAGACATTGCCGCTTGTGCAACCAGAAGCACCCGTTATTATACTACTATCATCTGATTGTAAGCTATTATCACAAAAGTGTATTGGCGATTGAAGCGGATCATAATGATGAGAATCGTAGCTACTTGATGTTACGATAACTTCATCTAGTGCACTTTCAGAATCACTTGATATTTCGAAAGAGTCGTTAACCCTTAAATAAAATGGAGGTTTAAGTTTTATTGTTTTTTTGCTCTTTTATTTCAAATATATATTTTATTATTTAAATATATATATACACATTATGTATATACTATGTTAGCATTATATTAGACATGCTTTTATATACATGTATTAGTTGAATATTTACAATTATAATTAATCAAATAATTAAAGCGGGATTAAATCATACATACATATCAAAATTTTTAACAAACATTTTAAACTGCTTCGGTAGCATATTGTGAATAGAACATCAAATCAAGTTTGCGGAAGCATAGCTCTCTTCTCAAAATTTAAAGTGAAAATTTGTAATGCAATGAAAATTTAAGTATAAAAGCAATTTTGTAATTTTGATTGTAAAATTTGGAAAAGGCAGTGTAATTTAAAAAGAAAAAATTAAAATGCAATTAAGATATATCATCGAATATTTGAATTTAATAACAAGGCATTATAGGAACTACGTGAAGAGGATCGATTTTATAAAAAAAGGAAAAAATTATTATTTATATAGTTTGATGAACTTGATTAAATCTCTGAAATAAGCTTATAAATTAATTTAAGATCACAATAATTCAGGAATATTATATTAAATTGATTACAAGGAGGAAGGAAGAAAACACATTTTTTACAATTTGATTTTTCTCTGGAAGAAGCATTGTGGCAACAGACGGCAGTATTTGAAACCACCAACACAGTTTTAAAAAGGAATTTGACAGATATAGCGATACTTTTTTTTGCGTCAATTTTTGTTTTTTTTTAGTGTGATCTATTTCTTTAGGAGAGCTTTTGTTTATTGGTTAAAAAAGCTTTTTAACTAATTTTTGTAATTTGTTTTATTTGTTGCTAACTTGCAATCAAATTTTGTTATTCATTATAGCTTCTACAAATAAAAACTCATGTCACCAATGTTACAAAGATGTCATTCATGAATTTGTATAGTATATTCGTATCCGCCGCATAAGAGTAGCACTCATGGAAGCATTCTTAAATGCAATTTTTTTTATATTATACATGAAAATTTCTTCAGACATTTAATCAATTTAATATCAAGTTTAATAAGAATATTAAAGAGAGATGCCACATTTGAAGTATGTTATTTAAACATTATACTCATTTGAAGATATTTTAAGTTAAAAATATCAATCATCTCTATTTAAAAATAAAACTACATATGACAAGTGATTAATTTAGTGCTTCATGTTTAAATAGAAGATTATATATAAAAATGTTAATATTAATGTTAAAAGTGTGTGCGCTTAAAAATGTGATTGAATTTATTGATTTTGTTCTTGAATTATGATGAAATTATTATATATTTTTATGTAGCAAATAGCTAGTTATTGAATCTGTTGAATAATACAGTCTTTTTTATTCAGTTACTTAGAAAATTTATTTCGGAATGTAATTTATTTTTACTGATTCGCATTTGTAACACGAATCTTAGCAATTGACAACTAAATTTTCCAACTTTATGTGTAACAAATTTATAAGCACTATTAAATACCATAGTAAGGGAATAGCGAATTTTATTCAAACTATACATATACATATATATATAATTATAGGAGTTTTACAATATTTATATTTTATATACGTTAATATAGGATTTCGCAAAAAACAAAATATTTACTTGGTATAGCTTTAAAGGAATATGAAATTTTGAAGCCATTCGAAGTCATTTGCAAATAGAAGTTGGTGTCATTACTTTTGGATATGCGTGTATTTTCAATTAATAATACTTTTCTTTATTATTATTTTTCTTTAATATACATATAAAATATTTTACATTATGACAATGATAATAACTTACCTTGCATTTTATGTAATATTTATTATTTATATCGAATTTTTAATTCCCAATAATGGCGCAATGATGGCGCTATTTAAAATAGGGGTTTATACAAACTTCATATGGTGCGAGAAGGTAACTGATGACGTTTACATAAATAAATTAATTTAAAATAAGAAATATATATTTTTAAATATTGCATGCGTGCCAAAACAGGACTTTTATTAATTTTTTTTTTATAATTTTTATATTAAAAAAATTAATTTTAAAATAATTTAAAACAAAAAATAAAAATTAAAGAAAACAAAAACAAAAAAAAAATACTAGTTAAAAATATGAACAGACTATAATAAACGACAATTATAACACCACAACAATTATTATTACATTATTATTATTATTATTTCAAAAAAAAAGTATTATAGAAGACTATTGAGAGAAAAACAGAAAACCAATACAAACATCACTACTATATTGTTATTATTATTTATTATTACATAATATTCTTTTAAGTTATTTTAATAATCTATCGAAAAATAAACTTACGATTTTGGTCGTTCTGAGAGTTTAGGTGTAGATGGAGGTGTCGTACATGGTGAACAATTTCTTGAATCACTAAATGAGTTCATTGATGCAACTTGTCGTTTTTTAACAGCATGAAATAGACTTAATGTTGATCGACTTAAACTCGGTTTGATTGTCTACATAAAATAATTTTTCTTTAGTTTTGAATTTGAAAAAAGAAAACATATGTCGGACCTTCTATTCTAACATTTTGACTTACGATTTATTAGAATAAATGGTACGATATTCAAGTATATTATGATTTCTTAAAACTTACACTAACGCATGGTCCACGTAATTCTCTTAAATCAATGCTACGGAACCAATCGCATAGAACTAGATCTTCAACTGCTGGCTTAACACCATCTAAGGGATCGAAGATTAATGCTATAATTTCAAAAGCCTGCAATGGAAAAGAAATTCGTCAAATATTTTTTCTAAAACATTTTTTTTCTGCATTTCTATGCATTGAATTACAGTATAATTTTCTAATTTTGTTGAGAAAGGGGAAGAAAATTTTTTAAAAAATAGTGTTTGTAGCGATGCTTGATAAAGCGCTCAGTTGGAATTTTTTTAAACAAGACTTCTTGGCCAAGAAAAATGTTGTTTTTATACTTATCAATAGTTCGGTCAGTAATGAGCCGGTCGTTTGGTGAAGAAAATTCTTTAAAAATGCATTTATGGAATTTAGAAAAACTACACAGACTGAAATTAGGTGGAAGGAAATGTCAGAAGGTGCCGAAATTGAGTAAAATACTAATTGATCAAAAAATAAAATTTGTGCTACTATACAAATTACAATAGTTCTTCAATCAAAGATGTTCTCTCTGTATTTGTGCATTCGAGAGAATGTTCGCAAGGAATGTGTAAATGAAATCTAAATTATATTTTCAAATAGTCAGGCGGAAATTAAACAATTTTACGTATCCCGTCTTTTAAAAGCAAAAGACGTCACAAAAAGAATGGAACTTCTCCGTAAGAATTCGTTAAGCCTGAACTCTTTGTATAGTATAGTCAACAAAATTGCTACACGAAGGCGGTTTAGGAGTATTGGGTTACTGATTTGCTCAACATTACTGGAATCGTTGTAGTACAATTCAATTGGATTAGTTTTTTCGTGCTACTGCGGATCTAACTACGAGTATTATATGTACAATTTGGAACTACTATATGTTTTAGACATGACGAATTGTGTCTTATAATAAATTTATATGTCACATAAGAACCATATGCCAAGGAAACAGCTTATGATTTTATTGAATATTTCAAATTTTTTCCTAAAAGCGCAACCATTGAGCTTACGCCTTGACTCTTGGAATCTAGTTCCATGTCATATACATGAAAACTAAATTTGGAATACAAAAGCTTTTAACTGTAAGATTATTGATAAGGTTATTAATTTTTGTGTCCCTATAAAAAAATAATTCCGTCAAAAGAAAAATTTTATTATTTATGAAATTTTTGACCAAAAATATTTTAGACAAATTTTTTAATATTCCTTTGAAATCGATATGAAATTTATTTTCTTTTTATTCAAATTTGCAAAGTTATAAAAAATATAAGTTATAGTTTTGTAATTTGTGTTTACACAATAATTTTTATTTATTACCGTTAAAAGTTTTGTTTTTTTATTGTTACGTAAATTTACCCCACCATACTAATTAAATTAATTCATGTAATAATCTATGTATTGTGTACATTTGCACAATCATAACATAAAAGAAATTTCTATGTAATATGTATAATTACTTATGTATTTACCTGTGGATGCCTTCTAAAGTCCTCTTCAATTTCTTTAATAATTGGTTTAGATGTTGCTAATTCATATCCCATACACATTTCATAAAGTAAATGACCAAAACAAATTACATCAATATTTTCTATTTCGACAGTTGAACGTGACCACATTACGGCATTAATTCGAGAAGTTAATCCTAAAAGACCGTTCTCTAATCCAGTTAATCTATATTTAAATATATATATAGAAGCAAAAGGAGAAAATGAAAATTAATTTTGTAATGAGTATTTTATGTAACACTTTTCTTATTTATTGTGCAAGAATTTAATTACTTTATGTTTTTTATGCTTTTGTTTTTTTAATTTTTTTTTAATTTAGTTCATTTGTGTTTTTTAAATATTTTATTATACCTTGCAACACCATTTTGAATAATAACATTTCCACTATGTATATGACCATGTAATTGAAAACCTCTATCCTTAAGAAATAATAAAGCTTCTAAAATTTGCCGCCCTAGTCTCTGAACTTGCGAAGCTGGCAAACCAGATGGTTTTTTTGCGTATTTTCGACTATACTGGTCATTCCATTGTGTCTGCATTAATTAAGACAAAAAAATAAAAAAATTTAGTAATAAAATCTTTGTTTTTTTTATGGTTAATAAGTATACATTATTAGATTTGAGGGCACATAAAATAAATGAAATAAATATTTATTTTTTTCACATGTCGTTTTAACGTATATATACATTAAAATAAGCTGTTCTTCAGTTCAAACATTTGAATAAAATTCATTTGCGGATAATGAGGGGGAAATAAATTGCCCCAAAAGGATATTATACTATGGAACTTATATTACTATAAGAAGGTATTCATATAGTACTATAGAAAGAATTCTCTTTTATTCTTATTCACTCTGCAGTTTTGCAGGTAGTAAACATATGCACATGAATTTTCGATTTTCCCTATTTCTCATTTATTTTATGTACTGTTGTGTTATATACTTTTTACATGTTTATTATCAAAAATATATTATATAATTCACACACATACTTACCTTATAAATTAAATCTTTTAGGCTACCACGTGGATTAAATGGCATGACAAGTGAAACATATGATTTTGTTTCATAATGCAAAAATTCTAAATCTAATACTGGATAAATATATGGATGATGTAAAGATCCCAATAATTCTAACCAACTTTGATTTTGATTTTGCGGCAGTTCATCTAAGGCAATACATTCAGGAGGTAAAGGAAGTAAGGTCATTAGGCGTTCAGTTCGAACCTATGTAATAAAAACAAAAATTAACAAGCGAATAAAATTAAAATAAAGTTTTTTTTTTCAAATTTACCGTAGAATCACTTATTAGAAACCAATTCTTATTTGTTCTAGAACCGATTTCATCAAGATGTGCGATAACATTATAACGTCCATTCGAATTTAATGTCCATTCTTGAGCAACACTTAATGCACGTTCTCTTGAAGCACGCTCTTTTGGACCACGTTCTGGTACACTACCACCGCTATCTAATGCTGTATATTGATATTTTAAATTTGGCCTGAACAATGGAGAACATCAAATCAGGAGGAAAAAATATAAAAATTCAAAAAAAAAAAATTATTTATTTTACAATATAAAAAATAGAAATTAAGTAATTAGCTAATATAAGTAAGTTTTGTTATCAATTAGCAAAAGATAAAATAAAAAAATATTTTTTTTTTTTTAAATAGAACTATTATAATTTAATTAAAGTTTTCTAGCATACTTCTTCTATTATAGGAAATTTATTTTTTAATATTTCTAAGCTAAAGTTACTTTTATTTGTTATAATAATGCTTAGCTATTCATTTCAAATTACTAAATTACTGGTTAATAATTAAATATAATATGAGCATGTTAATTACTAAATGTATTGATATTAGAAAATACTAAGTGGTTTATGAGATTATAAGCAAAAATTTCCAGTTTTAATAATATTTTTTAGTTTTTTTTTTTTGAAAATGAATTGGTTTGTCTATAATATTTTGTATAATATTTTTCGTGTTTTGGCAGTAAAATTTTAATTAATTTTTTCAATAAAGTATTTTTTCTCCCTTTTTTAATTAAACTTATTGATATTATTAAGATGAATTTAATATGCTTTATAGAATGTAATTTCCATATTAAGTTTATGTAAGTGATAATGTAATTTGTGAATATATTAAAAAAACCAAGTGCATTTGAAACACAAAAAAAAAATTAGGTGTTTTAAATTCAATAATTCCAAAAATTTTTAAATATTTTTCTATTTGCAATTAAAAACAAATAAAATTCTTTTCCAAAAAAAAAAAAATTGATAAAAATTATTTCTTGCTTTCAGAGTTTAATTGATTAGGTGCTTAAAGTCACTAGTTGAAAAAAAACAGAAATTTCAAATTTACCTAAAACTATTAACTTATTATTAACTTAAACTTGCAAATTATGCATATTATAATATTAAACTTTAATACAAATTCTATTTCCTATAATTGTATAAGAAACATGTTTTATGAACTTGTGCTACATGATCATTACAAGAGTTAAAAAAAATTCTATTTAATTGTGAAAATTAATTAATTTTGACAAAACCTTTACATAAATATTTTAAAATAATGACTGTCACTGTAACACCAATAAATAAATATACAAATTGTAGACAGGTGTTCATATTAGTGTGAATTTGCCATGAAATATTGTTAAAATTATTGTAAAGCGTTATTTTTTAAGTTCGCCCTAATCTGACAATTTTATTCGATGAAATGTCACCGGCATTACCTTTCCATATTACAATATTCGTATGTACAAATATCATTAGAGTTTTAGTTTAATTTGATAGATAAGATTTTTTTTATATTCACATAAGAGTTTTTGCATCACCATATTCATTATACATTAATTAATAGCCAATTAGACCTTTTTTTTTTCTTTTTATATTTTAAATTGAATTCTTAACAATATTTGTAATATATAAATATATAATATAAATAATATTGGGAAATATATAGTACAATACGATTGCATAATTGTCATACACATATTTTTATTATAATAAATTATAAATAATCGATTTGCGTTGAGCATATACTGAAGCGCTTTAACGTATTGCTATAAATATTAATGATGCAAAACTATAGGTTACTGTAACTGTTTTGCATGAACTTTTCAACTCGTATACAAATATGACATTTTTTTAAATGACAATTAACTGACATGTTTATTTTTCATAATATTCGCTTAGTGTCAAATTATGAAAAAATGTCAAAATATAAGCTTTCAGCACAAAGCTTTGAAATAAAAATTATGTTTAGATAAATCGCATAAAAACGATCAAATAATTTTGAAGCGCTTTTATTTTGCCTCAATAGTTTCTTTCATTTTTATAATAAGAAAAAATAAATAATAAATTTTTATGCATAAAGCTAGGTTTATTGACAAAACTCGTCAATATTTGGAGAAGATAACATTATAAGGCTAAAGGGAAAGGGTGGAGAAAGGCTATATTTGAAAATTGATCATATAAAATTCAATATATATAATTATATTTTATTATAAAAACAAAAGAAACTTATGAGTCAATTAATATTATAATTTATTATAAAAAATTTAGTTATATTTAAAAAAAAAAGAATATAAATTGTTTTTTTTTTTTTTTTGATTACATCAAAAGATTATGCATTTGTATAGAATGAAAGGGGAAGAACAACATTGAAATACGACAATCAATAAGGAAACATAAAAAAAAATTACTTTTTTTTTTTACAATTTTTAATCAATATGTAATAGTAATAACAATAATAATAATCAAAGAGTGGTTTTTCAAGATATTCTCAATATTCTTACATAATATTATATTTGTATAGCTATTATATAATACAGTTAAATTCCATTACTCGAATCGAATATTCTATAATATTTGGTTTTTTTTTATTATTTGAACTTTGCATATTTTGAATTTATTTTTGACATTTAGAATGATTCGATTTATGGAAGTTCCACTGTGTATAATATAACAAATAATTTGGAAATAGACGACATTAATATATTATATACGAAACAGTTAGATAATAATATATTTTTAATTTATTGTACTCATACATATACATATATATTTTATTTTTTTATAATATATGTATGCGTATATGTATATACAGTGTATATAACAATACAAATTATGTTATTATCATAAAAAGTTGAGAAAAAAACGTAAATTTCAATACAAATAAAACACTCAAAAAAATTTAGATGATATTTTTTATTTTTGTAATTTTTATTATAGTTGATATAAAATACATAAAATTTAAAATGATTTTTTTTTATAAAAATTACAATTTATATATAAAAAAAAATTGTTTTAATAAAAATTTGTTTTAGTAGTTTGATAAGAAACATGGTAAAATAAAAACATTCCACATAATTTTTGCTATTTTTTGAATTTTTTTAAAGTTATTGGAATTTTGTTATAAGAAATTTATATAATAAAAATGTGAATTTTTATTTTAATTTGTTTTTTTTTTTTTTTCAGCAATGATAACTGTATTTGTTATAACGTTTACATAACGTTTTAATGTACAATATAATATTGATAAGGAATATATAAAATTGGCTTAAAATTTTTACATTAAATTTATTAGAACTTTAAATGCAATTATTTAATAAAAATTATTAAATTGAAAAATTAAAATTGATAAATTGAATAAAATATTTATATAAGAATTGAAATTTCATTTCATAAATAATGTGCTAAAAGAAATATTTCAATTAATTAATTTTTAAGAAAAGTGTACCATTTAGTTGGATATTTTAATGTAACAAGTGAAATTTTTATCATAGACAAAAACCTATGCATTCAAATTTGCGAATTTGTTTTTAATGAAAAATTATTACCATTACCATTAGAGGGACGATTTAAAAAAAATTTTTCATAAAAACTTTTTTAATATGATTTCTTTTTAATAGTGTTAATATTAAATTGATAAAAAATATTATGTATAAAGAATTTCGATAACAGTAAAACCTGTCTAAGATGGAATCTTAAGAAGAAGCAAACTTTTTTATAAAGGAACATTCTTTTCGACATTAAATATTTGAAAAAAAAAAATTCCTGTTAAAATCACACTTGAAGACGGTAGCCTGTCTGAAACGGAAACTGTTATATTTTAGTACAGTTTTGACTAATGTCACCTGCTTAAGGCAGAATTTTTTGTATTTGACTTTTGTGACAACTGTACAAGATTGTAACAATGCGTATGTTTATATTTGCAATATGTAATTTTTCAAATGAAAAATTTTTTAATTGTCAACAATCCGTTAGAGGTCTGTCACAAACTTGTTTAAGATCTAAATCTGTTTTAGACGGGATATTTTGTTTTGACTCTGTGTTATTCCGTCTTATATAGGTTTTACTGTATCTATATTGGGAAATGTAAAATTTAAAATTTATAAATATAAAATTATTAAAATTAAGTTAATTAATAATACGATAAATCCACACGATTTCAAAATTAATTTAAGCCAATATTATATATGTATATTATGTAATAAAATGGTAAGGAGTCTTTGTATAATGAATCAATATAAATATATAATTTTTAAATTATGAAATGAATTAGTATATATTATATTGCTATGGTAGTCCTATGGTAGGTAGGTTTTAAATTTTAAATTATGCGTGGAAAGTTCGGACAGTTTTTTTAATTATACGAAAATTGTTAAAAATAAATTTTTGTATGTACTTAGTGAATTTCTTAACTAATTTTTTTAAAAATTAAATTCGTATAAATGGGACGATCTACAAACAGTAACAATCAAGAAAATTATAAATTTAAATTTATTTAAAAATTAATTATTTGATTGAATTTTTCGGCGTACGTTCAAAAATTTTATAAAATGAATTTTTCTTAAAAATTGTATAAAAACATTCAAAATTTGCTATAAATATTGAAAGATTTAATTATTATTCATATATCACAGATTATATCACAGATTTTTTTTATATGTTTCAAAATTATTACTATATATATATGTATGTTTTATGACACGATATAAATGGATAAATACATGCCAGCATATACAAAATATATACATATACAAACTAACATTATTCTTTTAAAAAAGTTTCATTAAATCATTAAAAATTTTCAAAAATTTATAAGTCATTCTATATAATTTAAAGTAGAAAACATAGAAAAAAAAATTTAACTATATATATTTATATCTACCATAAAGTATATGCAATATTAATAATATTCTGTCATATGATATTTACTGCTTCTAGCTAAACTACTATGTATAGTATTTAATATATAAATATAGTACATAAATATTGATTCATTAAACATAGTTACAACAACTATAAATAATTATATAATTTAAATGTTTTATTATACAATATTAATTATAAAGGAGGATTATAATATATATAAAATATATAAATAGACAATTAAAAATTATTAATAATAATGTAGATAAATAAAAAAAAAGAGAAATTTAATATAATAATTTTGTTAATTAAAAACTAAAAATAACAAATTTTTAAATTAAAGCAAAAAATTAAGTATAAATAATTTTTTAAATATTTAATTTATTATATAAAAAGAGAATTATTGTGATGGAATCAGATATTTAATTTTTTAAAGGTAATGGTATAATACTTTTTAGAGTTAATTGTTTTATAACGTAATTAACATTTGCTACAATAAAAAAAATTTAATTTTAGTAATTTTTTTTTAAATAACTTTGAAGCCTAATGCACAAGTTTGGATTATAATATTTAAAATATTTAAATTAGTTTTTGAAATAAGAAAAAGATTATGGCTCTAAGCAACCATAAAGCTTTAAATTTTATGTAAATACAAAATGGAACTGCAATCTACTTTATTTAATAACTAAAATTATAATATATTGTTAAATATTTCAAATTGAAGATGTTTACAATAAAAATTCTTCTTATATTTTTAATTTTTGTCATATTTCATATACTATCAGTATTGAAACATACTTTTTAAAGAGTAAAAAGTTGTAATATAAGAACACAACACGCATATGATATGATAAGAAATATTAATCATTCATTATATAAAGCAATACTAACACAGTGAAGGCCTAATAAGCGGTATAAGCATTGAGGCTTTAAATTTAAACAAAAAATATGACTTAATTATAAGGCGTAGATATGTACATAATTATATATATATAGAATGCACATTATGCAAGTATGCAAAGCTTTTTTATGACAATATTATTATTTATATATAAGCAAAAGTTAAATTTTCTGTGTTATACTGTTATAATATCATTAGTAAAATATCAGTATTGTTTAGAAAATAACGGTAATTTTTTATTAAAATAACGGTTAGTATTAAATAAATGAATTAATATTTGATTTTGTTAATCTAATGTTAATTTTATATGTTTTTACATATTATTTTTAATAATATGATTTTTCCCTTATTAATTATCAATATTTTATATTGTAAATAAAATTAGTATATTATTAAAGGGTTGCTTTTAAAATAAGAGTAAAGAATATTGTCGAATTATAAAAATTTGTAGAGACTTGTCATACTTCTATAAAAATTTAATATTTAAAAATGAGATTATAATGAACATTTTTCAATTCAATTCAATTGTTATTAAATTTTAGAGTAATGTTATATTGAATATTATTACTTGAAATATATATATATATATATATATTTAGATGATTTAAATATAAGAATAGTAAATTTTTATATTGTAGAAAAAAAGAACAAAAAAATTTAACAAAACTTTCAGGCACTAAAACAACAAAAAAGAAACAATATTTTTTTTTTTACAAAAATATTTCAACAATTTGGTCAAACCGGAAAAGAATAATATTTCTTATTAATTTAAATTGAAAATGAATGCTTTTCCAAATATTTGACTTTTCAATTTAAAACATATAGTTTAGTTTATCCTACCTGTTCTAGATTTGTATAACAAAAATTGAAATTTATTATTATTAATATTTTATAAAAATAGAATATTGGGTTCCTTATAGGAACCCATATTTTTAATACTATATGTAATTAAACTAAATCGCTATATAAAATATTTTTCTATTTGCTAGAAATTTTTAATAAATTTTGAGTTCCAACTAATCTATCTAAAAGTATAATGTTTTATTTTGAGTGAGTGGCGCAATTTCGAAATTTGAGCTTTATTTAGCTAAAAAAATAATTTTTTTTTCGCTTAATTTCCCAACATTTTTCTGTACTGCTCGCCATAAATAAGTAATGATGACATACGTGGTATTGAAATTATTTTTTAGTTTCAGAAACATGTGTGTATAATCAAAGATATTTATTTTTTAAATGAAATTTCTGTAAGTATTATAAAACATTTATATGTTCACAATGAAAATATTGCTCTGAAAATACTTAAAACCTGTAAACATTTAATTAGTTAATAAAATTATATATAGGATTGGGTAATATGTATATTGCAACTGTATTACCGATCTAAAATAATTTTGTTAATGAAGTACTTTAATGCGAAAATTATCAAGATTTTTGAGGACTATACAAGCAGACACATGACTGTTTATAATTATTTTAAGTTCATCACTGAACAGATCTAGTATAGTTTTTTATGACATTTGAGTTCCCTAGTTCCGCGTCTCTGTTAGTGTTATGATTTTGTGTACTATGAAATCCTTTCACACTAAATCCTTTTATTTTTTATATATTCTAATTAAATAAATAAAAAATAAAAAAATAAGTAAAATTAAAATCAAAATGAATTCAATAACAATTTTATTAAAATAAAATTAATTTGATTATGTTTTTTGTTTTCTTATATAATATTTTTTTTTAAATTTATATTATATATTTGATTCCATCGCATAACAAAATAAAATAATTTTAAATAATATATGTATATGAAATTTATTAAAAAAAAAATATTTAAAACATAAAAATTGAATAAAATTTCAAATTCCAGGCATAAAGATAAATTTCAAGTTAAAAATAAATGAAAATAATTTAAATAAATTTTGTAAAAATAAAAAGAAAAACTTAGAGAATAAAAAATTATAAATTGAAAATTTTATAATTTTTTAAGGGGAAAATTATCTATAAAATTAAGACCTTCAACAACAAAACTTATAAAATTCTATTTATTGTATAAAAATAAATTACGAAAACCAACAACAAAAGAAGAACAAATTTTATAGAGAAGATTTTATAATAAGTAAAAATTTTTTTATTTTCTTCTTTTCACATTTAATTTTAACCTTGCTATAATTGGATCTATTGAGTCCCTAGAAGTATTTGATGAAGGATCTGATGGTATAGTTTTACTAAAGAATAATCTCGCCAAAGTATCAATTCTTGCACTAACTAATGGTGATTTTTCCGAATGTTCTGATTGATCGGAATTGTCTTGTTCAGAACTAGCAGATCGATTACTAAAATTAAAACAAAAACAAAAAAATAACAATCGGAAAAAATGAAAAGAAAAAAAAAATTAAAAAACAAATGGAGAAAAAAGACATAAAAAATAAAATAACAGACAAAAAAAAAATTATAAATAAATTTTTTTTTTAATTAATAAAATAAAATTTAAGCTCAAATTTTTAATTTCACATTTAAATATTTTTGTATATATATAAAATATTTTCTATATAATAAAAACAGCATTATTTTTTGTTTTAAATTATTTAAATTTTATAAAGAAAAAATTTTATTATATAAATTTTGTTTTTTTTTTTTTGTAATATTTAAATATATACCGGCTAAAAAGAACTCTTTTGTGAGCTGCAGTCAATGTTTTTGAATCAAATTCATTTGCCGAACTTGTACGTCGTACATGATTTGGATTTTTTTGTCTTTTCCGATTTGATTTGCTATATAAGTTTTTTTTTTTTTTGGTATTATAAACGATCAACAATTGATTGATTAATTTAAAATTAGATTTTTTAACAAATAAAAGAAGGTTTAAAAGGGGTTAGGTCAGGGTAGGGCAGGGCAGGGCAGGGTTAGGTAGGGATTTGGAATATTAAAAAAGATTCAAAACATAGAGAAAAAAAAAACGAAATTAAATTATTATTATTACTTAAATATTTTAGAAACTCATCTTAACTTAAAGATTAAAAAATTATTATTAAAATACAAAGTATCAAGTTCAAGTTCATGCTAAAATTTCGTTAGTATTTTAATATACATTACAACCAGTTCAAAATATATATTTAATAATTTTAAATGTTAATAAAATTCAATTGTACGTGTAATTTATTAATATTTTTTTTATAATTTTAAATTAATATCAAAAAATTTTAATATGAACCCGAGCTTGAAAAAATAATTTTAGTATTTATTTAAAAAAAATATAAAACATAATGTTTTCTTTTTTTTTGTTAGGAAAATAGTTTAAGGTGTACAGTATTTTTTTTTTTAATTTTTTTTTCGTTTTTTTTTTTTTGTAACATATTTCGACATTATTAAAATACTTACGTATTACCGAAAGCACCACGACCAAATCTATCATGACCGGTTGTTGATTCACTACCGCCACGTCTCATATTACCTTGTAGATTAAACATTTTTAATGGTTTTTTCGAACTCGCGACTTCACAAACTCTAACAATTAATTTTCGACTACTTTTAAATACTGTATTAAATGTTTTATAAAATAAAACTGAAACTGATTTATTTTGATTTGAAGACGATGTTGATGATGATTGTTGCTGTTGTTGTTGTTGTTGTAATTGTTGTTGATATTGAATTGAAGATATATTTTGTTGATCGTTTTCAATACTATGTGATAAATTTTGTTCTGATAATTTATGATGTTGTCTTTGTTGAAAATGTTGTTGTTTCTCTTTTGATTTTTGATTATTATATTGTTGTTGTTGTTGTTGTAAATATTGTTTTTCATGTATATTTTCTTGAATTTCTTGTTGATTTTGGTCGTCATTTGATATATTACTATTATTATTGTTTGGTTGTCCGTTGTGGTCCTTTAATATAATTTTTTATAATATTCGTATTTTTGCTTTTATATGTATATGTATAATTATTCGATTAAATACTATTTTTTATATTCTTTTTTAATAAACTATAGTTTATTCTTTCAAAAATTTTATATTTATTTAAGATTTAAGACAGATATTATATACACTTTTATTTGTAGTGTGTGTAGTAAAATAAAAGTGAAATTTACAAAATTATTAATATTTTATAGTATTAATTTCCAACAATAGAGAAGACAATATACTTATTTTTTTTATAAATATTTTTAAATATTCCATATAATTTCACTTTAATATGACTTAAAGTTCAAATTGATTCGGTATGGAAAATGTTTTTGTACCCTTATTATTTAATATTAATTTTGGTTTTTTAATACAAGACAATTAAAAGTACATAAACTGGTCAGTAAAAAGTAAATAAATATAATATAAACTGGTCAAGTAATATTTTATACAAGCATTCTGCTATTTCATATTCTGTCTGCAACTACATTGTGACTGTTCGAAAAAAGCGGAAAGTCTTGCAAGAAGGCAAATATTTTGAAGGGCGGGGCTTTGTAAAAAATTGCCTAATGTTTCAATAAGACTGATAACACGAATACATGATTTTTAGAAAAATCTTAATTTCTTTATTTATTTTAATTCTCGAACTCTATATTTAGATTTTCCTTATTAGTTACGCGCTATACTGACATATGAAATAGGAATGTAAGATAAAAATAAACTGTTTATTAATTTCAGGAGTCTACTTTTCCTATAATGCATGTTGTAGGAAATTTTAAATAATGCATTCAATTAATGAAAGTTGGAATACATAGAATAACTTGAGAGCAAAATCATTTAAATTTCAATTTTTTTAATATTTGAATCTTTTTAATCAAGAAGTTTTCGACTTACTACAGAAAAATTGTTGATATAATCTTGTATCTTTAATCTTTAAAGATCATATTGTAAACTTAATCGTGTATTCAGTATTTAAGAAAATGTTTCATTATTACGTCATTTTATGTACCCAATTTTGCCGATTTCTCAAAATTTTTTTCTAATTTTTTAAAATTTTCTCAATTGTTTTAAAAGTAAATTAAATGTAAGTTTTATTAGACTTAAAAAAATTTTATTAATGGCACCTAAAATTTAATATTTTTCTTGCGGGGTACACCAAAGCCTCATAAATCAAAAATTATTATGTTAATCATTAATCATTCATAATCTTACCTATATACGAGAATTTACATATAAATGAATTTAATCCTTAATAAATTTTTTTGGAAATAGTTTTGTATTTTGTAATTATCCTTGATGATTTTTTTATGTTTTGTTATTTTAAATTGAATCTTTTCTCGAAATTAAAATCTCAATCGAGAAAAAAATTTAAAATTGCTGTTTTTTTCACTCTCTATTTTTTATTTTAAATTCTAAAATATTTTAATTTTAAGCTTAAAGTCAAAACTATGAAAAAAAATTTAAATATTTTCAATTTCATTTATTAAAGATTTTTTATACAAAAGATAATTTCAAACTCAATTAACACATGCGAAAGTCCTTTTTATTATTCTTTTATCTTTCGAAAACAGTTCTTCATTTTTATATTTTTTTTTAAACAGAAAATTTACAATTTCTCATACTAATATAATTATTTTCTAATTTAAATTTTTCATATATGAAATTTCACATCATTCACATTATTTTATAAAACACTGAACACTTTCAGTGATGGATAGGAACTAAGAAATAGTTTTGTTTTTTGGTAAAGTCTTTTTAATAATGCGAAAATTGCGAAAGTAATAAAATTGAAATTTCTATTGTTATTTTGCTTTTAATTTAAATTTTCATTTTCTTTATTGTATATAAATGAAAAATGAAGTCTACTGAAGGTACCTTATTGTTGATTTTATTAATCCAATTATTATTGACATTACTATGTTCTACAAAACATTGTACACAAACATATGTTATGTGTGTTCAAGTATTTTGATAAAATGTATTAGAATATGAATTCGATTTAAAAAAGAATTCTCAAACTTTAAATGCTGGTAATAAAGGTCATACTGCAAATGGAGCAATCAGTTGCAGTAAAAATTTTTTTAATATATAGTGAAATTTTCTAGTTGAAGAAACTTGTATTCTAAAAATTGACATTAGTTCGTACTTTAGCAACACGTAAAACAGCTTGTGGCGGATCTTGAATATATTGAAGATGAGGCAATTTTATTTTGTCAATCGTTGTGTTAAAATAAATAAACAGAATAAAAAAAAAAATTAACAAATAATTGGAAATAAAACATTTCTGAATTATATTCTGTATTCTATAAATGTATTCCAGGGATTTATTATAAGGAGAAAGAGAGTTTGCTGCAAAAATTACTTTGCCCGAGGAGGTTTCGGAAAACCAGTATACATTAAGTAAACGATTTTGAGACGTTCTAAATTAGTGCCGCCCTACATAGATTGGTGATTAGATTTTAATATTGTTGTAGCACGAAATGAAGAATTGTAACATGCGATGGAAGGGTGGCTCGATTGTTCTTGGAGCAGCTGTGATTGCAAATATCGATAAGATTATTCTATGTCTATATAGGATTTATCTTAGGTATCAGGTAACTATTTTCATAAATGGTATAATTAAATTTAATTTTAAAGTTTGAATATTTCTTTAATTTTTTTTTTTCTCATTCGACAATATTCTTGAATTATAATAATATTATCACATTCTATATGAGTTTTCTACTTGCATATGCATATAGAATAAATTGTATGATATTTTACGTCTTGTTTTTTTATTTTACAACGATTTTTTATTTAGTATAAAAGAAAGAAACGTGAAATTATTAAATTTAGTTATGCTTGAAAAAATTTCAAAGGTTTTTGATTTACCTTGATTCAAGGAAATCGGTTTCAATATAATATGTTACACATTTTTTCACACATTCCTTTCATATACATTTTATTAGTTTGTTTCCATTGGTGTTTAAATGTCATACGTTACCAATTGTTACTATGGTATATGAGTAGAAAATAAATATGATATTACACTCGTAATATTGTATATTATAGTTATATATGTAATGTATAATATATAGTTAGAGCTGAAAGAATGTGTGAACAATAACCCTAAAATTTTCAACAAAAAAAAAATATTTTAAATTATTCGCTTTCGTAAATTTTTGAATTGTTTTTTTTTTTTTTTTGGAAATTATCGTATTTTATTTTAAATTTCATAATTAAGGACGATTAAATTCCATTTCAATATTTTAGATATTTTGTCACTGGTCTAAAAATTGTTTATCCAAAATTATATTTTTTTGAAGACAAATACAACTAATGTGCAATTTATTATGAAAAATAAGACTATTTTAGACTGGTGAGCCACAAAACTTCTGTTCAAATATAATAATGGAAGGACCTTCTGTGTAAGAATTTTTAAAGTTTTTTCTTGTAAGAGCCCTATAAATTTTTAATTAATTTTTTATAAAGTTCAATTATTTTGTAATTGCATTTTATTATGAGAATTTTTACTTCAATTTTTTCCTTTTCCTAATATCATCATAGCTATATGCTTGACGTAGAAGCTATTAATTCACATTTACAATTCAAAACAATTTCTCATTAGAATTGCAATCATTAACGGAAAATATAATAGAAAAAAATTTAATTATAGGATCAAAATTTGCTAATAAACCATAAGAATAACAGAAAAGAAGAAAAAAGAAAACCAATAACTGAAAATAATTATTAGATAAATAATTTTTTTTTCTTCTATCTTTTAATTATTTAATTTTCCAATTGGTTCAACTTTTAATTAAAAATAACTGATTTAATGTATTGAAATAGAAATCAATTAATGATTTAATTTCGTTCTTCCTCTGAAAACAACAATTTCTATATTTCATTTTATTTTTTTTTTATTTCTATTCGATTAAAAGTTTTTACCTATTTTTCTAGTGAAATTCTATTTTAGTAATTAAATTTTGATTGTTTTTTGTTTTATTTGTTCTTATTGTATTAAATTATTTCAGTGTTGTAGATTTTCAATAATCCTATAGAGGCAAAGTTAATGCAATATTAATTAATGTTTTTAGGTATTTAAGATGATTATTATATTAAGTAAGGGTTTTTTCTCTCTCCTTACATTAATTACAATAGGTAATTGAATTTTTTTTTTCAAAATGATTGAAAATTTTCTTCTGCGATCAAATTTCTTAATCGAATTGCAATTATATCGGAAATTATTTTTAAGTTTTAATTAGTTTGTCGCAATTATTTATTTTGCATTTTTTATAATTATATATATATATACATTTTTAATTTAAATTGAATAAATTTTTGTACCATCGTTTTGTTTACCACAAACCTCAAACCCCAAACATTTATATTAAATTTTTATAGTTTAAGCAATCGTTTTCATTTAATTTCACAATAAATAATAGTTTAAAATTTTTAAAACAAATAATAAAAATTATTTTTTTAATTAATATTTTTGTGGTATATTTTTTTGTAAATTGTCACACTAATAATTTATTCAAATAAAATTTGTTTATATTCAATAAAATTGTTATAATAGCGTTCAAAATATTTTATTTTAAGGTAATGGAAAATGGTTAATGAGCCCATATGTATACCCACAAAACGTTACTTGTATAGTAATTGAATATTAAAGACAGCAATGAATTAATTTGGTGTGTTATGGATTTCCTTTAGGGTGAATGTTTGATATTTCAGAGTGAATGCCTCCCATATCATTTCTTTAGTTGTTATTTATTAAAAATATAAAAGTACTAATTTTAAAAATATAGCACAGAATAAAATGAATAGGATGAATAACCTACATGATAAATACCGTTGTTTGTATATATGAGAATTTCATTATAATAAATAAAAATTTTTAATACTATATTTTTATTTAATTGACAGGACAGTAATTTGCATAATGTAAAGCATGATATTTAATATTTTCGTTCATTTACATTTAGAGACTTATATGTATATGTGTGTTATGTATGTTTATGTATGTTTATCAAGAAAATTTTAATAATTTATATTATTTATAAGTGAAGAGAATCCTTGTTGCAGAAGATTTCTTAAAGTAGCTAATTTAAGAATAATTTCAAATTTTAAATGAACAATTTTCTTTGCATAACTTTCGGCGCGCGCGATTAAACTAAATTTTTATTTTACCATTACAATACTGCCTTACTGCCTAAATCTTTAAAAGATTTTAATTAATTTCTCTATGAAAATATTTTTTCACAATTGAAATTTAATATTCATTTTACATAGATTAAATTAGATTATTCTTTGAAAATATTGTATTTAATATGAATTTTATTGTGCGAATATTTTTTTTATTAAAATTAAATCAAGAATTTTCAATTGTCTATATTATGAAATTTTTATAATGTAACTGATGACGATTCCAAATTTTGATGTAAATATATTCAATTTTAAAGTATATTTTAATTGAAAATAAATTTTAATTTTTGTTTTATTCATAAATTAAATGAATTTTTTCTCTTTACAATTTAAAATTATAATGTAAATACATTTTAATATTTTCATTTTGTTTTTATAATGAAATATAAATATTTTTTTTTCTTCAACTATATTCTATATTTAACCTACACTTTATTTAAAATTCATATTTCTTTGAATATTTATTTAAAAAATATTTTATTTGCAAATATCGATTCACAAAAAAACAAAACAAAAAAAAATAACAATTTCAAATATTTGCATTTTATGTAAAATTGAATATGCTTTCTGTATAAGGAGTGGATGTTCATACGTACTTATATACATCTATATTTAAGTATATATAGGTATTAATATTAAATAAGTTTAAATATCAAATATTTTTGTATATGGATGTGAATATTTTTAATTTTAAAAAAAAAGTATTATATTTCAGTTTCACAAATCGATTTAATAACCGATGGAAAATTAACAGAATGGAAAATATGAATTCATATATATAAACATACATAATGCTATAATTATGTAAATGTAAATATATACAGGGTGATTCAGTAATTATGACATAATAAATATCATTATTTAGGGAATCAAAAATGAGTAAAATTTTTATTCAAAACTAGGTGTCAAATCTCGATTGTTACCGAAATACAGGGATTTTAAAGAATTTTCATGAAATTTCTACTTGCTCATGCTTTTTTGCTTTTAACTTCCCTTCCGCAAAAGATAGAAGCTTTAGATAAACGATTTTGGAAAGGACTAGTATAGGCCATATACGCATACAGGATGGAATGTATTATGTCACTGATTACAGAGCCACTCTGTATATATAAGTTTGTTAAATAAATAATACATAAATATTTTAAAATATTTCTATATATAAGTACAATAATTTTTAATTTCAATATTGGGTATATTAAAATCTATATAAAATATGGCGTTCAATACTCAATGGTATTCCATTTAAAATAGATTAAATTTTTATTGGTTTTTCATCACGAACTTTTCAAACAAACTGTTTTTTTTAATAGTTATCAACGCATAATTACACATTATTATCATCTCTTGGTTGTTTTATAGAAATGGAAAGTTTTATAATAAATAAATAAATAAATAAATTTAAATAGAAAGCCTCATAATTCGGGAAGAACAGCAAAAAAGAGGAAAATTTCACATGGATCCTTAATTATTTTTTGTTCGTTAGAGCTCATTCTATGGTTTTCGAATCGAGTCTTGCACATCTCGTATACATAAATATGTAACAACCAGCTATATTATTAAGTAATTTTTCTTTATAATTTTTATTTTGAAAAGAATATTTTTATTATTTCATTCCTCTTTTCTTCCTTTTGATAAATATAATGGGTTTTTTTTTCTCTCTGGTTTTTCTGTTAAGGAATTTAATTTGCATTTAAATCGATAACAATCCTTTAACATAAAAGTGCTGCTATTATCATTTTATGGAGAACAGAGATTTTTTTATTTTCTTCAATTACAGCGTTAAACTGCTTAATTCTTATATCAAGGAAGGAGTTAAAAATTATAAAATATTAAAAATGATTTTGGTTTAGCAGATAAAGTTCGTTTATAATTGAATTTTTAATTTATTTTTTTTTGTTTTAATAACAATTTTCAATGTCTTCACAAAAGAATCCAATAAACTTTTAGTTTATATGTGAAAATAAAATCGATTAGAATTTTTTGATTGATTCGTATATAGTATTATAAGGGTATCCAATAATTTTAACACGGTTATAATTCTTAGTATACTAGACCTTTAATGCTCTTGTATTTTACAATTAAAATGTAAAATGTTCAAGAAATACAATAATCTTATTTTATAAGAAAGTTTTTATAAATGTACATACATATCTATACATATATAAGTATAGTTAAATTTTTTATAAATAGGATTGCATAGAAACTATAATTGAATTAAAAATGCTATTCAAAAAAAAAAAAATAGTAAAATTTTCATGAAAATGAAATGAAAATTATTTTAAACTACTTCAATTCGCATATTTTGTAAAATATTTGCTTTTTATTTGTTTTTTTATATTTTCGATAGGCATAGTAATATTATCTAATCATTTGACATATTTTGTAAATGACATGTGACAATTTGTTTCTGACATATATGAAATGACATTTTATGTACATATTTTTTAATGTATGTCATATCTATTTTTGACATATGTCAATAAGAATTGATATTTGTCGCTGTCAGATTATATAACATGTTCTTTTATCAGCAACTTTTTAGTTCTTTTATTGATTAGGAACATTAACATGAAGTAAGAATGTATGTACGTATAAAATCTTGCAGAATAAAATTGGGATAATATGAATAATTTGACGTCTTTATATGGGAAGTGTAAGTTTCCCTATAAAGACTATCTATCTGAGATGACACATCAGATTCGACAACACATCTGGCACTTTCTTACCTAAACCAAAGTTAATATAATAACACAGATTGCATAAAAGATGAAGGTTATGGAAAAAATTGTATTTTAAAATTTCAATGCCATGCAATAGAAAGTTTTATTGTCATTTGTTTGCTATTAGTCTTACTGTCATTGTAATTTTATTTCTGAAAATCTGAAACTGTTTTCATTTTTTATATATTTTCATTTTAACATACACGCATTTGGTTAATTGATAAGAGACACACATACTTTTTTTTAAATAGTGGCAATAACCTGAAAAATTGGAAGGAACATTTACTTTTAATGCTGTAAGAGGTTTTATACAATGATATTTCTTCGTTTGTTCTTAAAATAAAATTTAATATATTGCTTGGTGTATAAGATAGTTAAATAAGTTGATTTGTATATATGCATTTTTATAAAGCGGCGTGCATGTACAGTTCATGCTTGTAATTCAAACAAAGCCAGCGTAAATTGCGTTACTAAATTTATTTATATAATATACAAAAATATTTATCTTACTTTTAGCATTTTCCTATTTTATATAATATATAAATTAATATATAAAAATGTGCTTGTATACAAGACCATACTAAATACAGCTTTCATTCTGCTCAAAAATTCATTTTTATAAATTCTAATACTTTGCCTTAATTTTTTTTAAAACGCTCTACTTTTCCTATGTATTTATTATTTAATATCATTAATAAGGGTTTACAAAAAAAAAATTTTTTTCTTATTTTTAAATTGCATAAAATCAAATTTTTCTTTTAATTTTTTTGCATATTTTCTTTTATTAAATAATACTAAGAACATTTGCTTTCAAAATTAAATTTCCTTTAATTTGACTGTTTTTTTTTTGTATATACCTTTCAATCTTATTATAGTTACCTGCATTTTCGTATCCAATATGAGATTACTGCTATTGCTCCCAATACAATTGCACCAAAGGCACACCAAACAGCAGACTTTATAAAATTATTTTAGAAAAGCAAAAAAAAGAAGAAAAAAAATATAATGCGAAAAAAAAAAATTAATATGGTTATTGCTTATATTTTTATAATCAGTTTAAACGACGTGTAAAACAATTGATTTAGTAACATTTTAATATTTACACAGGAAATTCTATACATGTTTGTGTTTATATCGTGTATATAGTGTATAAGCTAAGCTACGCTAAGTACTGAAACCAGTAAAACGTCTACTAATAATTTATACTCTAATGCGTTTGCTTTTTTTAATACAACAAATTTAATTTTGAATTGAATTTGCCTAAGTTATTAGAAATTTGTTAATTTATTTGTAATGTAGAAAAAAATTATTACATCGAATGAGCAGATATTGGAAATATGTAAGTATGGGAGTATGTGTTTCTTTTGTTACCGCGTAACGTAGTGAGTGTCACACACGTCAATAAAATTTTTTTTGGTGGTTGTTGAAAGGTTTTGATTTCAAGATTGTTAGTTAACAAATTTTTGATCAAATAATTTTGCAAATTTTTCTTTGAAAACCTGCTATCAGTTAAAGATTTACCGGTTAAAATGATGTTGACATTTATGAAAAATGTTGCGCAGCATTGTGTCAATCTTGCGTTTACTCTGATTAAGAGTATTAATTAATAACTTGGTACTAGAAAAAAGAGCAATATTAAATTTTTATTGGTGTCAAAAAAATTTAATTTTTTTTCATGTTTTCTTTTTACAAATAATTTTTGTTTGTGTACAAATGTTAGAGCAAATCGCCGCCAATCAGTTCTAAAATTGGTCAAATGACTTAGAGATGTTAAAAGTTATAGAGTCTTATAATATTTTCATTTTTATAATACTTTATATGGCTTATATGGTTTCATAAAAATATGTTCGATGAATTAGATTAGATTTTTAAAATTTTATATTTTAATTTTTTATATAACAATAAATCGTACGACGTGGTTCTTAAATATTTAATTTAAAACAATTTTAAATTTTTGAAAAATATTATAAAATAAGGAGAAATCATGTTTTCTTGTAAATATTTTAACTTGTATACTTTGTTGCCATAATTTTTATTTATTTTCATATTTAAAATTTTTCCATTAAATGCGAAAACTTATTATTCGTGTTAACTTTAGAAATTTTATTTTTAAGGCTTAAAATAACCTTTATTTTGTAACAAATTTCAATAAAAAATAAAAGTGAAAACCAAACGCAATTACACAATTAATACAAGTTCTTCACCTATTTACATAAAAGTTTTAAAATAATAATTGAATAACAGATTTAGAATTTCTGTATATAATTTTCTATAATCTTTGAAATATGAATGATTTTACATAATGTTATGAGTATTGTGTAATTTAAAATATTATTTAAAATACTATTTTTAAAAAATTTCATTTTTCAACTTACTATCCACCAATTTCTTCCACTATGATTAAAATCAAGTTGCATTGCTCTGCAACAGAAAATGTCACAGGATCGTTCTGAAATTATAATATAGAAATAATTTTGTTTTATAATCGCCATTATAAATAAATATTGTAATAAAAAATTATTTATAACTATATTTTGTAATTATATAGAATGTTGGTCATTAAAATAAAAGTTCATGTAATTTTTTAATACGGCTTTTGCTTTTTCCAACTATCACGAATGATTTTTACTATAAATGTATAGTATATATGAGCTTGTAAACAAATATTTTCTATTAATTTAGAACATGTGTATTCAATTATAATTTCATAATTTATGTTTGTAATTTTAAGTGTCATTAACAAGAGTTAAAGAGCCCGAAATAGCAACGCAATTTTGAATATAAGAACTTATTTTTATTTTTCCTATAATATTTAAAGAGACGATTAAGGTTATGACTTATGCTTACTGAAATTATCACAATATCGATTCTCGATTATATTTTAGTTATATATTTTTCAGGAAGGAGATATCCTAAACGCATTATATCACATTTAAACTGGATTATAGGCCATATTTTAGTTTATAATTATTTGTTAATACACGTACAAGCTACAATATTTTAATAAAACAAGGTTTCAAAACCTTATAATCACGGTCATATTTTTAAAAAAAAAAATAATTTTGGGGATTGAAAACTCTTAAGTGTATGTTTCAAATTTTAAAAATAAATCGATAAATTTAGATTTAATTTTTGAAAAGAGTTCTAAGTTTTCGTCCATAATCGGATTCAACAAGTTTTTAATTAATCGAATTGAAAAAGGGTTGCCATAATTAATACCGACTAAATTATAGAGGATTTAAATTTGTAATGAAACTAGGGCTGTTGAGTTTTGTTTAATTTAAGCAGTCGTTTCTTATTATCCCATGCTAATTGGAATTGAAGTAGTAAAAGGCCCTCAGTAATAAATTCAATTTCTTATAACATAATACAATTCAATGGGTTCAAAGAAGAAAACTAAAGGTGTTTTTCGTTCTCTACATTCAAAATCCACAGTATTATTTTTGAAATTCATTCTGCTTAAAAGTTCTAAAAAAATATTTATAAAACCCAAAGCTAAAATTTTTCAACTCTCATTAACTTTTGATGGTTTTTCTTAAAATATCGATACTCGAATATTGAAAAAAAATTTTAACTTTTAAAGTACTTTTATTGTGCTATTTTCGACATTGAAACTAAAAATTGAATTTTTAAAATGTTTGCAATTCATTGCTTTCAAAATGACGGAAAAAAATTAGCAAAATAAAGAAAATCGTAGAATGTCGAATGTTTAACAAAATTCCAAAATAAAATTTCCGGCATTTCTGTACGATAGCTGAACGTAAAAATAATTAAAAAATTTTTCTCAAACTGATTGAAGAACAACAGATGTTAGAATGAAGTAGGAAGTGCCAAACAAAATGGAACAAAACTTTTTTTTATAAAATTTTTGAAAAAGTTTAAAAAAGGAAAAAACACACTATTTTTTCTCCGTTTTAATTTTATTTTTTTTAAATTTTGATTCGTTTGTTAAGAAAATATTTTGTAAAAAAGTAATGCAAGAAAAAAAAAACTTTTATATTATTATATTTAAAATAGCACCATGTGTTCTACAATTTGTATAATAATATAATTTTCATAAAGAACTAATTAGACAGTGAATTTGTATTGCAATTACAATTTATTATACAAAATTAAGAAAATAAAGAAAATCATCTTTTGTACTGAGATGAATTGGCTAACTTTTAGGGTACTTCGGGTTTTCGGAACTGGACTTTTATTAAAAACTCATTTTTCATTTTTATCTTTATTTTACAAAATAATCTAATTTCAATATAAAATACAATTTATATAAAACATATTTAAAAAAATAATAAAAACAATACTCAAACGACTGTGTTCCTAAACCATAAAATTATTTAGCAACATTTTTCTGCATAATTCTCTAAATACAGTTATGTCATTCGTTCAAAAAGAAAATTTGCAAGTGAGTTTTGATTCCATTCCGTTCCATACTTTCTCTTACAGATGTTATGGTTTGATATGTTTTATAAAGACTACGAGCTTGAGAGACATGAAATTGCTTTATCTAAACGATAAGAACACAAGCCCTGAACTTGAAATTAATGGACAGCAGAACGTTAATAATAAAATAATAAATTAGTAATTTGAAGTCGTTAGTCAGGCACCAATTTTTGCATGATGAAATCGACAGCTATAATGAATCACGTGTGAAGTGTCAAAAATAAAAATATAAGAAGCAAACAACAGAAAAAAATGTTATACGTTTAAAACAAGTTAATCAATTTAATGTAAATTGAAAAGAAAAATATTTTGGTGAATGGGTGGATGGTACTTTATCGTTTTAATACATAACAATTTGGTATGCGTTCATATACATACATTTGTGGTTTTAGATATAAGATGGTGGTATAATATATAATAAAAATAAAAAAAAATAAAACAAAATAAACGTGTTAACATTATTGCAATGCTTGCAATGTGGAAGTTTTCAGTTTTTAATGTTCTCAAGTGTATAATACAAAATTAAGTTTTGCGTTATAAATTCTATTTACTTGCTCCTTTGCACATTTATTTACATTATACATAATATACATATGTAATGTAGTAATATTATTACTACATAAATGTATATATATAGAATATCTTAATATGATTTTATACATTATATAATACGAGTATAATATAAGAAACTTAATTTGGTGTAGAGAAATTTATATTTAAAATACAAACATAAAATACATACCATCAGTATAACAGAAAATGAATTTGGTATATTTGCATATGTCCTTGTTCGTATTAAAAAAAAAATATATATATGTATATTTTTTTTCGCATCAAAGGTTAATGTATTATTTGCTATTTAAGCAAAAAAAGGCACTTTTCGAGAAAAAATAAATTTGTGGAAAGAAATTAAATTGTTCTTATTTGCTGATGCTTTCTCTAATTCTTTAGTATGTATAACATATGCGAGTAGAATAAATAAAACTGAATTTAATTGAAAAATTATTTAAATTTTGCATGTACGTATGATGCATACATTATAAATTATTGTAATTTTAGATCTTTGGAATTTTTGCGTAAAATTTCATCCTAATTTACATATAACACTATGCAGATAAATAAAATGAAAAAGTAAAAATTGAAAATTTTATTTTACTTGAAATGTATGTCAAGGCATTTTTGATATTATGATTATAAAAAGTTGGAAAATTCTATTTTAATGATAATGAGGACACATTTTATGTCATAATGTTATGTCGGAATAAATGCTAGCGAAAATTGTCTAAGAAAATTTGGTAAGTCTAAGTTTTATAGAATTTTTACAGTTTCTTGAAAATTTCAGAAAGCTGGTCACCAAGCTTGTGAACAATTTCAATTTGTTTTTTTAATATTATAGTTAAATTTTAGTAAAATTCAGTTCTGTTAAATTGAACTGGGCTGGACATGAAATGAGAATTGTGTAATATTATATATATAAAAAAATTAACCCGTGTTTCCGAAGCTATATTGCAAACTGTTGCTAATAGATAATGGGCAAGAGACTTTGCTTCTTTTTCTGATCACCATAAACATTTTTGACTTATTGAACTCGCCCATCCCATCTACATTATTTCAATCACAAATTCTTTAAAACAATATTATTAAAATTTATTTGATTAATTGATATTATTAAAAAATCAAAATTAATTAACCAATTTATTAATTAATATTAACATTCAATTAATTCTAATGTAAAATATTGTCCATTTTAAAATTAAAATTAATTGGGAAGGAAAATTATGTTGAAGAATCAAAAATTATAAATTTTCTCATCACAAAAATATTTTCATTTTTATACAATGTTTGATTTTCAATATTACATTGAAACTCATCAAAAATTTTTTCCTTACAAAGTCATTTTTATGTTTAATTTATGTATGTATGTGCATTTATATAAATATAGTATGTATACTTAAGTAAAGAGCTCATACTTTTAAAATTTTTTAATTTTATAACGCTATAAATGTTTTGATTTTCAATAAAAAATTTATTACCTATATAAGCTATATAAGATAATGGTTATGTTAGTATGTGAAAATAGATTGTTACAGAATTGGAAGATAATTTTGAATTTTTATTACATAGTGTGTATATGTAAGTATATGAAGAATAATTTAATAAATAAATGTTTTTAAATATAAAAATTTAAATTTAAATCACGAAAAATTGTTAATTATTTATAATTAGAGTAATTATTATAGTTTAAATTAATTATAGTTTAAAATAATTTGAATAATTTTTTTTGAAAATTTAGAATAATGAGTGTAATGACGTTTTCAGAATATCAAATATTTGTAATGTAGAATAGAATGAATGAAAATATATTCGTTAATAATTTTTGTTGCATAACAGTAATGCCAGTAAATATGAATTTTAGGAATAAATTTTCGAGAATATGAGGAAAAGAAACATAGAAATTTTTCGAAAAAATCTTTTGAATTTATGTTGAGTACAAGATTTTCTATAAAATTGAGAATATTGACTTTATGGTTGGAACTTGGAAGAAGTGAAAATATATGTTTGATTCATTACTAGAAAAATTATTTAAGAGTTTTGGGTATTAAAACTGTGGCACCAAAAATATTTAATAATTATTAATTATTTTTAAATTTTTGAAGGAAATTTGATTATACTCATTATATCATTATGTATAACTCAGGATATAGAATATAATACAGAAAAAAAATATGTACAAAGTACATAGAAAATAAATTGAAATTCTTGCAAAATTTTCAATATTTTTTTATGGATACTCAATTACTATAAAATCTATATACTACAACCTATTCGATTAAATTTCATAAAATTCTTGGGTTTGTGACAAAAAGTTAAGAATCCTTATGATTTTATAATGATCCTTATGTTTTTATAGTCAAACCTTTTTGTTTTCTTATCTGATTTTTATAGTCATTAATCTGTCCAAATATTTTCTTTCTAAATTTAGATTAAATTTAATT